CAATAAAAAAGGATCAAAAGAAAATGGGAGGGCGGATGAAAAATAAAAATTCCTAGAGACTTTTAGGGCCTAAGCTTGTTTAATATTACCATTGACTATACAACAAAAAATTTCTTTTCACAGAACTGAAATTAATTCATATTGCTTTTATTCAGAATTACTCAAATCAGAACACTAGCAAGACTTACCGCTGGCGCTGGTAGATTGGGAGTATGTGAGATAGTTGAAATATATGAAATATAGGAAAAGAAAAACTATTATAGCTACTTTCGGATAAGCGTAGAAACAATGTTAATTTTGTCTTCCCATTTCCCCAGCTCGGTTGAAGTGTACGCTCTGTATGGCAAATTTACATACCAGCCGACTGAGCTGATCGGAAACTCATCTGTTGGTCTAACTGTTGCAGTGCCGAATAATATTTAACAATAAAATGTACAACTACCTTCATTCAAGAAACTAAGAAAACAAATACAACAATAAAAATAACATTGGACATCAAATTAAAAATAAATTAGCTGCTAGTACACTAAAGGTCAAGGCCCTTGTCCGTAAACAAACACTACTTCTGGGTTATCTTACGTTGGTGTTGATGTAGAACATTTTATTTTGTCATTATTGGTGTCAACTGTGTCAAATTGAAGAGTAATACGGTTGATTTGTAATGGAATGTTATTCTAAATAAATAAACAGTGTATAAATGTAGAGATTTAAAACTACCCGGGTATTTATAACTGCATTTTTTATAAGCACTCGGGTATTTAAGATTATTAAGCTACATATCACACAAAAGTTTTAATTTAGTATTTTCCCTTTTGGCCTTTTTATATGACATTGGAATGGTTCTATCATTTACTCATGCTACTCATAAATTTCTTGACCCTTTGCCTTCGTCACTATGAATGTGTGTTTATACTTCAATTGTGTTAGATCCTTAGCATTAATAGGCTTTACCTTCGTCAATCCAGCTCAAATGGTGCAACTGCCTTGGTTACGGCCGTTTCGGCTTAGGATCAACAAAACACATAACACACATAAACATTTAAACAAACAAATAATATTTACAAAAACGAACAGGCCTGTCGTACAAACTGTAATGGTTGACATTTTCTGTTTTGAGCTGTTTGTATTTGTAAATTTTATTTGTTTTAATGTTTGTGTGTGTTGTACAAAACATATGACTTCCCACAACGCTGCTTTAGCCGAGATTTTGTGGCTGACGATGGTGTTGTGATGCCGAAACCATTTGCCCCATTTGAGCTGGATTGACGAAGGTGAAGTTTATTTATAGTTACGTTACTGCTCAGGGGCTAAAACATGGATTTTAAGATCCTAAGTTTACGGATATTTATGTTTAAGTTTAGTGTTAACCCAAGGTAGATTTTTTCCCTCTTACAATTGGTACCTCACAGAGAATCCAAAGCAACATTTAGGTTTTGGAATTAAGTTTTAACTGTTGGATCAGACTATCACTAATGGTTCATTGTGCTAGGGCCTGACGCTGGACTGTGTGGAGATCTCCTTGTCCAAGGTGTTTGAGGCGGGTCAAGCGTACGTCGCTTTGTCCCGGGCCAAGAGTCTCGAGTCTCTCCGGATCATCAACTTTGATCCAAAACAAGTCTGGGCGGACAAGGACGTTCTCAACTTCTACCACAGAGAAGGACAAAGAGCTAAACTACTTTCAAATCATTTCATTCCTCTAGGTCCGAAGCGAAAGTAGTGAAAATGAGACTAAAAGTCTGGAAAAATTGGTAATGTTAAACGTTTTATTTTATTATTTAACAACAGTATTACTCGCTAGTTAGGTGCGTGATTGAAATATTTATGAATTTAAACTTTTGTTTTGAACTTAAGAAGTTAATTTAGCTTGCTTGAAATATTTTTATTTATGAATCAAAACGTTTGATTTGAACCCACGAATACTAGAAAAATACCGGTTTGGATCATAAACATAAACAAATGACGTTTTTTGGCCCGAAAGTAAACAAAACCCCTATACTAATAGCATTATTTAACATATGGTTTTGTTTAATTTCGGGCCAAAAACGTAATTTGTTTATGTTTATGATCCATACCGGGTCTTTTCTAGTATTTGTGTTTTAACCTAAGAAGTTAATTTAACTGGCTTTTACTGTGCTCCTTCTCTTTTATATTGGTTTAATTGACTCTTAAAAAACCATTTTGGCTGTTAAAACCAAAATAAATATTATGAATAACATGTTTTTTCTAAGCAAAAATAAGTATTGAAGATGTTCAAAGTTGTTATACATATTCTCTCGTTTTCTGTCACATCCTTTTTTTGCCTTCCTAAACCAATTTTTACAATTTAGGTGTTTTTTAAGCGTTTTATTTATTGGAGGTACGAATTGTAACTAAAATGTAATATAAAAGGTATAAAATTACCTGAGTACTGCCAGAGTGATCCTGTTTGTTCCTTACGGATAATGCGTTTCAAAGACTAGGTCTTCATCATCAGATCTTGTACAAGAACATTTAAACACTGTCACTTAAAATGTAATTTAATTTAGGGCTTCCTCCCCTTAGTGTTAAAGACTTCACTTTCAATGGCTCAATGATGCTGACTAACTTTCTTTATAACGGGGTTAAATCTTAATTGTAATTTAATAACAGCCGATCCTTTAGTTGAATATTCAACCAAAGTAAAGATAACAGTTTATGAACATGGACTTTGAATAGTCTAGACTGCAGAATTTTTATTTCAGCTGCGGGTTTTTGATACAGACGAAATGAGAGAATTCTATTGGCTGTCATGGCGTGACGTCACTCTCTTTTCTTGAGGGAACACCATTACCGCAACGATACAAAGTTCAGACATTGGTGTTCGTGGTGTAGTGGATAGAGTACTCGGCTGATATACAAGAGGTACAACAAGATCGAATTCCACCGGTAACACTCACTTTTTCTTCAAAGATTTTGCTTAGAATGTGATTCCTTCTTAACTGTACATCTTTTGGTGGAATTTGAGTCATTTCTAATTTTATTTTATGAACAGAACTATTTTTTTGATTAGTAAACCTTCATTCGACTTTTTCATTATCAGCAAGTTTGGTTACTTACTTTTATAATTGATATATATAGATAATTATTGTTAAAAATATAGATTATTTAAATCTAACTGAGTCAACAAACACAACAAAGAGTGACGTCTCAACCCTCAAGAGAAGAGAGTGATGTCACGCCATGACAGCCTATAAAATGTTCTCAGTTCGTCCGTATCGACAAACCGCAGCTGAAAAAAATTGTGTGCCTAGGCTACTTTCGGTGATAACCTAATTGAGGTAGCTAAATCACTTCATGGTATAAATCTACCATAGTCAAATTTAATTTATTATAAATTATTAGTAGTTTTATTCAACTAATATATTATACTTAATACAATAAACGGGTTGTCTGTTACATCCTTGAAGCTGTCCTACTTAGCTGATTTTTACGATTTTAAAGCTTATGATCATGTTGGTGAGAATGGTAACAAAAATGATAATTTCCTTTAGGGCTTTGCCTCCCTTCCATTTATTTCTAGAGTTCACTTTAAAGGACCAGTGATGATGACCAACTTTCTGTATAACGGTTAACGGTTGAAATGTGAATTGTATTTTAACAGCTCTTCAGTTGAATGATTAACCTCAGTGAGATTGTAAACAAGACGCAGAAGTGTATAAAACAGATTTTTAGGTTACTTTTTAAAAAAATGAGACCTAATTGGGGTAATAACCTCCAGCTACCAGACCACGAGAAAAAAAGTCGCGGTGACAAAGTCGCTAAGTAGCCTAATGTTGTGAGTTGCGATGAAATAAGATTTTTTAATTTGCTCCAGTCTGTTATGGACGGCCTAATCTTATCTTTGTGCGCTAATTCTTAAAGCGAAATATGTGTAGTAAATAAAGTATTTAAAGCTTGTTTGTATTATGTCCTAGTCACAACTATCTTTTTTTTATGTTTATCCATGAATCCTCGGATACGCTCAATTAGGTTACAATTTAAACTTAATTTAACATATTTTTATTTGCGATATCGATATGCTTGATTTTTAACTGTAACGTCTTCTTTACCCTCCTATCTTAATTTCTTTGTTTTGTGATATAATAGACTACTTAGTAGGCCTACTTTTATACTTATTTATTAAGCTAGTTGTGTGAAATGTGATAAGTTCCATCGTAATGTTGATACATTTGTGTATTATAAGTGCCAAGCTGTTAACAGTATTTTGTTGTGAATATTTAACATATTAATATTTTACAACCAATTATGTTCATATAAGATTATGTAATTTTTGCTTACAAATTTGAATAAAACTGTACAGTGTATTCAAACAAAGCAGATAGGCTGAATAATCAATCGTGATTTTACAAAAAACTGTGAAAATTGGAAAAAAGTTTGCTTAAGCAACTCATTGACACATTACTTGATCTCATATCATGTAATATATTTGAAATAAAACATTTTTACTTCAGTAAAACATTTTATTTATTTAAATCCTAACCATTGGTTGATTAAGTAGTAGTAGCACATACATTTATTTAATTGAGTTTCATTTTGTATCAACTATCAATACAGAGTTAACTGTTTTAGTGTCACCTTTAAGGCAATTCTACACCCAAAATTCTGTAGAAAAAGATAGCTAGGTGTTATAGTGTGAAGCCCCTGGTGCAGTAAACCAGTTCCACACTTAAAAACATTTTTTAGAACTAGAATGGTCGGACATGATGCTTTTCAGGTTAGGAAGATCTGTTATGTGAACGGTTGGCTACAGTTGAGCATAAATATCTTGCCCTTGAAGTGGATTGGAGGAAAAGTGGTGGTTGACTTTAAAAAAAAATTTTGTTGGTAAATAGCATGCAGTACATTTTTATGTTAAGTAGAGTATTCAATTAAAAGTTATAAAAGTGCAATCCTCTTTGGTATTAGGGATCAAAAATACAGTCGATATTTGTAACAATTATATTTTACAAAAAAATAAAAACATACATATCTACACACACATTTACAACACATATTACAGCAATTTCTTACTTAATTTTATTTACAACGATATTTATAATTTAGTTTGTCTTTTACATAATATCATTAATTCACAATGGACATGATTAATGTCATGTATTTTTCTTTGTAATGTTTATCAAGCAAGTTCAAAAGAAAAACTGAAACTTTGAATCATATGAAAATGAAATATAGTGTTTTGTTTTCTAATGTAATAAAATCTCCCATATAGACTATTATTACATTTGAACGTGTCTATCAATACCATCTCTTTCTAACTGTAAAATTTAAAAACTATAACGAATAAGAATTATTCATTTTAAGAATAAAAAATTTACAAAAGAAAATAAAACACATAAGAAAGAAATTATTATTGAACATAGGGTACCTATTGTATAATTAAACTTAAACTTGGTTATTATTGCTTTAACACTTAAATAAATCCTTTACAATGTTTTTTTGTAATCACATCCAATAAAAAAACGTATAAAATTCCTTCAACTGAAAAACTTAATCAATTACATTAAACTTAAATCTACAAAATGGTCAGTCTTGAGATTGTTGGTTTTTGTACATTTCTGAACATTGTGTTTCAAAATGAGCCGCTAAATACTAAAACTAGGCAAAGCAAATTCACACCAACAATTATCACATTTCGAAATCTCCAGGATTGAGTAGAAACTATCTTTCTTCGTCGTCTTCTTTTGCAAGCTTTGAGAACCGTGGACTCCGTGAAGTCAGCCTCAGCTCGCTCGGTAAGTCGTAACAACGGCAGACGCAGCACGAGGGAAACTTGAACCAATCGGAGAAGATCCCTCGGCAGTCGTTGTTTGGGTCGTAAGCAAGCAGACGGTGCAGTCTGTACTGCTGCTCACAACGGCAACCTTGCCTGCAGAACATCTGCTTGTTCTCAAACCTGGAAAATCGGAAGAGGAAGTTAGCATGATTTTACTTGTCCGATTCGAAAATTTGGATGCCCATAGAAGTTGCCAACAATGTTCTAAGATAAGTTAGGAGGCATCTAAGACAGATCACAAGCATATGGGTCATAGCTTTCTCAAGAATACATGTACGTTACTTGAGGTTCTACAATGGACACCACAAGTAGGTATGTGGGCAGTCCGAGGAGACTTCAGACCATATACTTGTGACGGCACAGCTCTGATTGAGGTAAGGGAAAGCACTCTCACCATGACAAGAAGCAAACACCTTCTTCAGGAGGCTCATAGACTGGATGGAGTTTATTAAACATCTCAGGTTTGACGGACTCTGAGGTAATAAACGGGGGAGCTTAGAAAAACCCACTAGTGGCTGCAGTGCATAGGAACTAGGTCATCCTTTATTTAATCAACCAAACAAACAACGGCCAAAGGAGAAGGTTTTGAGGCAGCTGATGATAAAATTGCAAAGCTGTGCTATGTGTAAATAGGGTACTGTACTTTGGTATTATCCAGTGGCCACTTATATTGGAGGGATTCTTTTTACCGGGGACCAAAAATAACTACATAATTGGAAAGAACATACTTTTATTGACTTATTGTCCAAATTTGACGATTACGATTAGCGGCCTTTGAGTTCTGCCTCCTATAAGGCTGCAATGTCGGCGAGAATTGAGTTGAATGCGTCGCCGCCGCTATACCCCTCCAAGTAGGTATACAGCGCACTGCGGTGGTTATGTTACGTTGGGTTATCATAAATATGTTTGTAGGACTTTTCTCGTTTCATTATGAATCGAATGATACCAGATGAGTCATACTTTCGCCCGCCAAATACCCCAGATACAGGCGGTGACAGGTGATGTGCGCGCTTCGGTCAACGACCTGACCTTGGCCTACTTGGAGGGGATTTGGTGTGCAAAAGTATGACTCATCTGGTATTGTACGATTCATAACAAAACGAGGGAAGTCCTACAAACATATTTATGATAACCCAATCTAACATAACCGCCGCAGCGCGCTGTATAAGGGTGGCCTCCGGATAATACCTATGTACTGTAATTAGTTATTATTTAGGATTTGTGATAGTTATTTTAAGAATTTTAAGGGAGAAAATCCTCTGCGGATCCGCCACTGGTTCTGGAAGAAACTGAATCTGAACATTTGAAGAAGACTAGAGGAAAAATACCTGGTAGAAGGTAGATGAGGGGTGTGAAGAAGATATTATGATTATATTGATGAAATGAGAGGTCTACTCGATGCCCTACACCAGAAATAACCAGAGCAGAAGAGAATAAATTATGTATTATGATGTAGTAGTAACATTTTAGTATTGAAAGGACATGACAGTCTTTACTTTGCTACTTGTAAACAAATAATCAGTTGTTCCAATACTTACGTACACCTCTCCCAGTGAACATATTGCTCGAAGGGGTAGAGATTGAGTAAAGCGAGCACTTCCCCTCTCGTATTATTGGCCCAGAATGGCGCAACTACTTCTTCCTTCACCGGGCATGCATTTCTGAAAAAAGAAAAAAAACACTGAGTCTTAAAATTTGCACATTTTATCTTTAAATACAACAGTTTGAAAACAAAAACTATCAGGTAATTCCCCTCACTAATGTTATAGTTTTTTTTTTGTTACATTAAAATATGTCTCTCAAAACATAGCCTTAAAAAAAGTAGGTGTTCAATAATAAAAGTTGCAAGTTTCATTTCATAAAAAAGGCATGTATTCACAATTTGCTCATGAAAATAAAACAATAGCCCGATGTTTAACCAAAAGTTTTAACTTGGTTAAATATTTGTTACCATTTATACAACTCTGAACATGGTTATTAGTACTGTTCTCTAAATTCAGAATACAAGTTTTAACCATCTTAAAATCAAAGTATTCTTTTTTACCCTTAACATGATGAAATCTGCGTCATGTAGCCAGATTTGTCATTGGGCCATTTTATATTATAGAGTAACATGATTAGGGTTGAGAAAACCTTTCTAAACACAGAAAAATGTGAGTGGTTTGAATAAACTCACAATTAGGCCTAATATTTGTTGTAAAAGGCTACTTACACTCCTCGCAGCTTGTACAGCTGAGTCTCCTCTGTCGTTGTCTGGTCTTTCTCAAACAGCTGTGGCTGCGGCTGAGACTTCTGCTCACTCTCTGAGCTGTTGACAGTCGTTGCCTCGTAATCTGCTGTCGTCTCTAGATTCGCCTCTGTCGTGAACTGCTCACTAGACAGAGTATACGGGTCTTCAGTTGCGTTGGTGTTTTCCGTCACAGACTCCGCTGTAGACGATCGAGTGCTCGGTTCCGGTGTCGTCGTGGTTGTGGTTGGAGTCGGCTTCGTCGGTGCCGAGGAACTACTAGTCCTCGGATGGTAGTTTTTCAAAATCCCGTCATGAAACGACCAACCGCTCTCACTCTGGTATTCAACGTCGTTGGACTCTATTTCTGATCGAAGCACTGAAATATGTCTTTCATCACCGTACATTCTTCTCATGAGTCCGTGGTTCTCGTAGACAAACCGACGAACAGCTCTCCTAAAAGCGGTGATCAAAGTTTTAGTTTTTGTACACTGTTAATTTACATAAAACCTTTAAACTATCATGGTTTGTGGTGAGGTCTTATATTTCCATTGAGGTGAGTATTTAGAGGTGGTTACAACATTTTACTGAAAGAAAAAATACAATTTATTTAGTTATGTCAGCACCTTACAGTCAATTTCCACTAAACTTATATTTTTCTCAATTTCTTCTTATCATCTGTTGTTTGAATAGTTATGGAGATAAAACAGTAAACATTTTAAAACTTCATAAATGTTTTGTATTGAGAAGCTATTTTTTTTGCAGCTTATTATATAAAATTAGTTTTGTTTATTGGCAGCATATAAAACAATCCTTGAGGACAAACGTTTAATAAAAAACTATTTTTCCCATTCTCAAAGATTATGAAAAATATTTAATTTGTATTAACACATTTTTGCAGCTAATCTTTCAAATGGCCGATTTTAGAACAGTATCCAAATATAACTAATTTTGAAAATCCTGAAGATCATGACGGTTTTACTAACCATCTGTAAAAGAGTTATTTTTTTAAATTTAGAAAACAGTTAAAACTCTCAACAACTTCACTAATTACCCTGCTTGTTATTCTCACCAGGGGTAGGCTGTGCCAGGTATAGTGCACCAGTTCTGGTTGCGGAAGTCACACGGTATTTCGCTGCGACTCTTGGATGACCTGAATGGCTTGGAACACGTCGTGTATCCGGAGTCATAACCACTACCTGGTCCTGCTGTCAGACTCAGCACTAGCTTCAGATGCAAACACACAACACAATCTTAAACATCGCTTCCCTGAGAAAAACTTAAATTAAAATTCACTATGCTCTGCAAGGCTTTAACACGTTTGCTACCGCAATAGTACAAAATTTCTCATTCATATGGACCAGCGACGCACATATGCGACAGTCTGTTTCCACCCATAGACTGGTCACATTAAAATAGACTGACGTTGTATATTTGCGTCGGTGTGAAATGTTATTAAGAAGCTTATATCTTTTGTAACGGTCTATTTCAAGTTTGAAGGCCTTGAATTCTGTGCAGTGGTCTACAAGGATGTCTATCGCATATGTGCTTTGTCTGTGAATATGATGATTAGTAACGTCAAATGATAGTTGGCAAAACTGATTTTTACTTTGCTGCATCGGCCCTCGGTCTGTGTGTACAGTACTCTTAACAAACTGACACCCGGTCTATGTGTGATATTAAAATGTATAGGTATGCTACCTCGGACCGTGGCAATGACCTCAGCGTCTCAAATATGTGGTGATTGGTAGCGAACGTGTTAAATATGTTTGAATTGTTTTAAAGATGATACTTCTGAATCTTAGACAGCTATCAATAATGTTATGAACAACAAACAATAACTTGTTTGTGAATGAGAGCACTTTTTTATACTTATCTCTTCATGTACACTTTTTAAAGACCATGAATTAAAGAATTCATGATGTACAAAGCTATATCAATAATTACTAATACTTGGAGCCTAAATAGATCTAGGCAAATATGTTTAAGTGATTATTGATTTCTCCTAATTCATTTTTAACCACATAAAATATGTTTTGGTTTACTAGAGAGCAGAGTTTTTAAATTCCCATACGTTGTCAAAATAAAAAGGGCCAATGACAAAGGTTTAGTGAGGGGGGATTTGAAAAAGCTATCCTTGAACATAAATCTGTGTTTTGAATCTAAAAGTTATATTCCAATAGCTTGAAGATTTAGAACACATGCTTAACAGATTCCACCTTTACAATATATTTTAATGGTAAAAATCTTAAACAAAAATATGGATTATAACATTTTTGGCGTTGAGAACTTTTAGGTTACACAGCACAGGGAGTTCCAAGTTTACCTAATAGTTTACCCCATTTACACTTCTCACAAAACAGTTCCAAGGCCTTGTTAATAAATTGCACTATTCTCTAAGGAAGAAGTTATAACAATTAAGACATTATGTACCAACAGGTATTCATAAATTAATAAGTCCAAATTTAATTTGACTTAACCAAAATAGTTTGATACAGATACAAACTATTAGTTATCAACCCTTTTTCACTTAATTTTTGAACTAGAGGAAACATTTCCATATATCCATCTAACTCCTCAAGTTGGAATACGGTAATTAAATTTCAAAATTAAGTCTCATGACTATTGAACTTCAAGAAAAAAAAAAGAAAAAAAAAACTAGAAATCATCTTGAACAATCCGATAATGGTATGCACTGCACTGCTAAAAATTAACTTATTTTATTATCAAATTCAAACCAATGAATACGATTCCATTTTAACTATTCTCTATAAGCATTTCGCTTCAGGGTTTGTATTCATTGTTCAAACCGATTTTACAACAATCATACAAGTTTACAGTTATCACAGCTGATAGTCAGCTGTTCAGCCGGTCCGTTTCTCACACACAACACACATTACCGGGAGTGCGAGAGAGATAAAGAACCGTATGTAGTGTACTGGAGTGGGTGCAGGTCTTTGACCGCTCGCCCGGGAAAAGCGCGAGTGAGAGTCTCTCTCTAGTGACAGTTTTTATAAGTAACACTTTCACTGCCATCGATGCCCGAGTCCTATTAGGTCTACAGGGTGCGGTGTTGCACAATACCTTTTTTTCCGGCAGACGACACTTTCGTTGAGTGCCGCGTCGCGGTCGTCTAATCAGATTGTACCATTACTGTTAAATTTGGAGGTTTTGAATTGCCGGGGTTTCAACAGTTTTACAATTTGACTAATAAAGATATGGTAATTGTCAGTATAAATGTGTCACCACTCTTTGTAACAGCATCTTGCCCTTCCGTTTTTAATTGTGACCTAAGTAATGAACCAAGTTTGATCGGGTAAAAAAAAATTTATAAAAGTTTGAGAAACGAACAAAGACGCGATTCTTGTTCTAAACCCGTTTTTATTCATTACATTTCTACACCAAATAAGCTAGACATGGAGGAAAAAAGTACATGGAACTAGATACATAAATTAGGATAGGTAAATAATTAAATAAAATCATGAAATGTAGACAATTTTAAAGATTGAATGGTTGGTAATCTGAAATAACCGAACATAAAATGTTCGAATTAAGGAAATTTAAGGAATTTGCTAAAAAATACTCGCAAAAAGCTAAATCCTGATGTAAAACTAAAATAGCTTATTCCCTATATGGGAAATTTGCTAAAAGTATCTGATTAGGCAGTATCACTCGTCGTTTATTTAGATCTGTATATAACGGTGTCTCACTACCCTTAAACCACAGATTTTTAACTTCCTTTACGAGACTTACACAAGTTCTACTCAAGGAGAGAAACTCTCCTTGGAACCAAAACAAAACGTTAAAATACATACTGTACTAGCGGAATACAAATACTGTACAACTAAAATAAAAAAAAAATTAACCCTTTCCTAAAACCACTAGCGGAAAACAATACTGTCGACCATAATAAACACGAAACATAGTAGCGAAACAGTGCGGCAAACTAGTATAAGATATCAATTTAGCTAATGACAAGTAGACTATTTACCAGGAGGGGGAGGGGTGGCAGCGTTGACGGCATTGTAGGCTACATGCTCCGCGCTGCCTGCCTCAGAACACACTACTGACTGCGACGGCGCTGTATCTAGGCCAGCGCACCGTTACCTGCGCCGTGTCATCACTTTCTCTTATTTGCCCACTGCCCAGTTTCCAATAATACGACCCACATTTCACACGACCGCCCTTTAGCGACACTTTCTCGTTTGCATACTCCCCCTTTGTTTCGTCTACGTGCTGGAACACACTTGCTCTTTCGAGATTGTCTCGTGTCGCCAAATGTCCAGCCTCCAGATAATCGTGAAACGTGACGTCACGTCTTGGACCACCGTAAAGCTTCATGAAAGTTGAGGTTTATGATGCGTAAACGCACTCTGTATGGTCGGTTACCCCAGTTATTGGTTGAAACTTTGTATGTGATAGGTTTATGCATACGTGGTTAATATTGTTTTTTGTTTGGTGAAAAAAATTTGAAAACACACCAACAAGAGTACAAGATCGCGCAACTCATCCTATACACTCGTCTCCGACCTCCGTTCATGCTTGGCTTAAAATACCTACATTTATGGTCGCCATTTCATAAGAAAGCATTAAAGAACTAAACAATCTGGAGTGTTAGTGTTGCTAACCCAGTGGTCAGCTTTTTGGAATTTGTTACAAGGGAGCAGGTTTGAGCTAGGCATATTCATGGAAAATTGAGGGGTTTGGGTATTGACTACTTTCACAGAAAATAGTTTAATGTATTTACAAAATACCATAGGCGTAAAGTTTATCTATTAATAGTCAAAGGTATAAGTTAATTAGGGTCATGAACTTTTGAGAAGACCATAAGCCGCACACCTGCAACCGCATACTTGAATGAAACATCTTTATGTGAAACTTCCCAAAAAGTACCAGTTTTTCAGCAAACCTCTCCCAAGGACAGACAACTTAATTACAGGGCTGTATTTAATATTATTAACATTAAAAAATTGAAGATGTATCAGATTTGTTTTTATTTATAGTTTGTTTACTTTTTCCCTGTGTTAATCTTATTTTATGATTCTCATTATAGATCTATATACATAAAGCTAATACAGATTATGAACTTATGATGAAACCATAAGCTGCAAACCTGTCAACCACATACTTGAATGAAACGTCCTTATGTGAAACTTTCCAAAAAATATCAGTTTTTTTTATAAATTCAATTAAATTCAAATATCTTTATTCATTTTTAATTTTTATGTACAAAATACATTTCAATAAATAGTGTCAAAATAATTCAACAGGATAAAAACAGCAAAACATGAGGAATGGTCATAAAAACAACAAATACATATTATAAATCTAGTAAGATAATTTCAACTATCATAGCGACTGAGGGAGTTAGAAAAATCTTCAAAAGAATAAATTGCCAAATTTATTAAAAACTCTTTCAATATTTTTAAAAATTGTTTGGATCTATTTCTTTTTTTATATTATTTGGAATAAATTTAAAAAAAATACTGTTACCTGCATAAGATGGTTTCTTTAAAAAAAATTTAGCCCTGTGTGGTTGTACATTTTCGTTCTTATTACTTAAATTATAGGAATGGGATTTTTCTTTTGGTTCCAAAAATACTTCTTGTTTTTCCCCAATTATTATTGATTCATATATATACTGCCCGTAAACAATAAAGATTTTTAGATCCTTAAAAAGTTCTTTAGCTGACTCATCACGCTGCAGCTTAAGCATGATTCTAACCGCTCTTTTTTGCTCCTTTAAAATGCTAACTAGATTACATTTTTTTGTTGAGCGGTAGAGTGCTATGCCAAAGGAGATATGTGAATGCACATACAAAATATATATTTTTTAAAGTTTTTAAATCACAGTAAAAAAACATAATTGATAAAGCATGAATTCTGGAATTAATTTTATTTAAAAATTTGTGGACATGTTTATCCCAATTCAAGTGCTGATCTAGTGTTAACCCAAAAAATTGTTACTAATTTCTTCAACAATATTTTGTACGTTATACCTTATTGTTGTTGGCTCCTTCTGTCTATTTTGATTTGTTTTAACATTTATAACTTTAGTTTTTTGTAAATTCATCATCAAGTTGTGGTTATTAAGAAAATTCCAGATACTTTCCAATTCTACACAAGCGAACATTTCTGTTTGCTCTATTGAGATGGATGATATGACCAAATTCAAGTCATCAGCATACAGACATATTGTTGAATTTTTTTATTATATATTAAAGAATCTTTCATTCCACATAGATAGCACAAAAAAGCAGGGGCCCTAATATTGAGCCTTGTGGCACTCCAAAAACTATTGGCTTATAAGTTGAGCATGATTTAATAATTAATTCTATTGTAATTTGTCAAGTGAGTGATTTCTACGTATTGCGATCTTTCAGTGAGATATGACGTAAACCAAAAGAGATTGTTTTGCTACTCCTAGACTTTGAAGTTTTTCAAGTAGAGTACAGTAGAATGCCTAACACTGTCGAATGCCATATATAGGTCCATGAAAATACCAGTTGTACATTTTCCTTTATCAACCGACTCAATTAAAGTTTCAATTAAGGAACGCGGCAGCGTTCCGCCCCGCCAAGTCCCCCAGCGGTACACAGCTGCTGCAGTGTATATATACATGACGTGACAAAGTGGCTTTTTTACTCGTCTATAGCTCTGAAGAAACAAAAGCTATTAAAATAATTGTTCATCTACTGGATAGGGGCAATCATTCTCAACAAAATAAAAAAAAGAATTTAAAAAACGGTTGTGTTTGAGCAAAGAAAAACTAGTTTGAAAATTCACAAATTTTCCGTGTTCTCCTTCTTCTCCTTAAATGTTGACGGACCTACAGCCCAAACCACTGGCTCAATTTTAATGTTCTTTATGTTGTGTGAAAGCCCTTAGCGTGTAGATGTGCCTTTTGAGGGTCTCAAGTCGGTACGTTGACCCATAAACCCTTGGCAAGCCCTCAAAGTACGATTTTGGCCCATTTAAATAACATGGGATTAAAATCAAAACAAATCAAAATAAAAAGAAGGACCAGCTGCGATTAAATATCAATAAATTTAAATGTTAGAGAAATTTATAGGAACAGCTGATGATTATTTTAAAACTTTTATAAAGTATTTTTTTCAGGTATACCGAATGATTTGAACTACTTACTATATAAAATTACTTAGAGAAGAGATATTCCCCCCCGTGACGGTTCCAAGGGGGGGGGGGGCTACAGGGGCTAAAGCCCCCCCTCCTTGGACCCTGGAAAAATAAATTTAAACGTACATTTCGTCCTTAAAACACGCAATGTCTTAAACACACATCAATGTAGATTTTATTAAACTTAATAAGCGATAGCAGGAGTAGTATTAACTTCCACATAGATCAACTTTGTGGACAATAGCACAGCAAATAAAACAATATTACGCAATTGAAAGTTAGTTAGTTGGACACAATTATATACATTAATATGGCTTTAGAAAGTCAGTAAACAGCTTTTAGGACAATATTGCCGTAGCCTACAATATGTTTTGAGATTTTATGAATGCAATCGTCATAGTTAGTATTAAAATGTCTACTTATTCATGACAAATAAAAATGGGGAAATGGGAGGTTTTGCACACAGTTCTAGACGTTGAAACTGGCTGTAGAAAGTCACCCAAGGGCTCAATTTACACTAGTCTTTAGATATACGGGTTTAATTATCAGAACACTTATGTAACACCAACGCATTGCCAGTAATGTTGGAATTCACTTCAATATTAGGTTGAATTCTATTTAAGTTGGTAAAAGCTTTAAAAACGTTAAAACAGAGGGCTATTACTTTCAACACCTTTATTTACAATTGAACTCACAACAATAAGCATTTAAATCATAATTAAATCTTAGCAATGAAATATAAAGTACAAAGAATAAAATATATTCATCTGCCCGAATTTTAAGTCAACTATAAATTGGTGCTAAGTAGGCCACCAGATGCAATCACATTTTATACATATGTTTCTATATAATTATATACTAGGATACTAGCTAAATTATTTAACTAAGTCTTTTAACATTGTATTAATAATTTTAACAGCTGTAAATAAAACGTGTTTGTTGTCTTTTTCATGTTTACAAAAAGAGCAGCATTGTTTATGTGTAGTGAAGAGATCTAGTTTAAGAACATTGAGAACATTTCTTAGGACCATTTGGTAAGATACCATGGCTATGTTTTAATTGCATTTTAATAGCTCTTGGACTAAAAAATGTCTTCAAGCCTCTACATCAATATCAGCTCCCACAGGACTAAGTGCTTACAACATCAATGGTTCTACGATCTACAAAGTGTTTCAGCTGCCAGTTGAGCATGGAAAAACTCCAAAGTACAAAGCTCTTACTGATGATGTTTTAAAAATGTTGAGATCCAACCTGAAAGATGTGGTGCTCTTCATAATAGACGAAGTGTCCATGGTCTCCAATCTAACATTGATGTACATAAATCTCAGATTGTGTGAAATATTCAACACCTCAGACCAAAGTAACGGCTGGTTTGGTAAAAAACATATACTGCTCTTTGGAGACCTTTTACAACTTCCACCAGTACACGAAGACTCCCCATTCATTGAACTTGACAGTAGCAAACTTAGTTCTTTTGTTGGCTCTCTGTCTTGTGTTAACATCTGGTCTGAACAGTTCTCTTATGATGAACTTACTACAAACATGCGACAAGCTCAAGATTCTAAGTTTGCTGATGTGTTAAGCAAAGTCAGAGTAGGCAATATGACCGTTGAGGACATCCGTCTAATTGAAAGCAAGAAAATACATCTTAATGGAAAAACTGCTTGTGAAAACCTTTCTCTAGGAGATTACTTGTCTGCTTTTCCCAACAATTCTGTGTGTCTTTGTTCAACTGGTTACCAATGCTCCATAATAAATGATGAAATGGTCAATAGAATAAGTGGTCCTGTCGTTAACTTGGTTGCAAAAGACTCAGTTGACTGTCTACCTCGTCAACAAAACAAAGTTAAAAAGATACTGTCCTCTTACAACTCTGACTGCAGCAGAACGGCTGGTATGGAGAAAATTATTCCTATTAAGGTTGGTGCTAAAGTTATGTTGCTTAGAAACATTGACGTCACTGTGGGGCTAGTTAACTCCGCCATTGGAACAGTAACGGGGTTGAGGTTTAATACAGACAATTCTGATGACGTAGACTCAGTGACAATTAACTTTGATTGTGGCATTACCCATCACCTACAGCGAGTAAACGTCAAGTTTCAAGTGATGGATAACGCATTTGTGTATCGAGAGCAATTCCCGATATCGATGTCCTACGCGGTTACAATTCACAAATGCCAGGGCCTCAGCTTAAATAGCGTAATAATTGATATTGGGGAGTCCATATTTACATGTGGCCAATCATATGTTGCCTTGTCACGAGTGACTTCATTAGAAGGGCTTCATCTTATTAACTTTAACCCAAGAGATGTGAAGCCTCAGAAATCCGCCATTCTCGAATACAACAGACTAAGGCAGAAGTACAGGTCTGACCTTCCACTTTACAACACAAGTTGTGACTCCTCTTCGGCTCCTTATGTGAGAGACAGGAAGTGGTGCCAGACCAAAAATGTCGAAAAAGTGCAGGATGAGAGTACAAAACCGGTACCCTCTGCAAAGACTACCGGAAGATCGAGAGTTCAGTCAACTTTAGCATTAAAATTTATTTTTTTTTTCAGAGAAAAGAGTATTTTTATTTGAACGGTTAATTTTCTACAAAAATAAATAAAATCTAACAAAAAACCACTAAGTGGTAACACTTTCCCCGCCAAGTCAGCAATCCAAAAAAGATAATAAATCATTACTTTTTCCGCCAAGAAAAACAATGTAATGTATGTAAGTTTGGCAACTTGGCGGCAGACTTTTGCTTGGTTTTTTTTCATTTAAGTTACGTTCGTGGATAATTTCACAAATCAACTTCTCTAATTAATTAGTCCAACTAAGTATAATAATTTCGAGGTAATCAGTAAATATAAAACCATCACTATTATGATTTTATGAAATGTGGCACAAATAAGGTCAAGTTTTGTAAAATAAGCTCTCACCTAGCAATGTACTAATGGGAGAGATACTTGCTCAATGAAACTAGTTTTATGGTATTTTTAAAGTGATCGAGCAAAAGTCTGCCGCCAAGTTGCCAAACTTACATACATTACATTGTTTTTCTTGGCGGAAAAAGTAATGATTTATTATCTTTTTTGGATTGCTGACTTGGCGGGGAAAGTGTTACCACTTAGTGGTTTTTTGTTAGATAAGAGATACAGCAGCACTCACAACTGATATTCCATTCCGAAAAATCCATGCTGATTATTATCTAAAAGATTAAATTGTTCTAAAAATTTTGAAAATCGAATGTATACTGCTTTTTCATATCTCTTATAATTGTAGGAAATTTTATTCTCTTTCGGAATATTTCCTTCCACTTTGGTAGATTTCCTCACCATTTAAAAGTTATTTCCAAAAACGTCAAGCAACCTCAAATCTTTAGTGGTGAAAAAAGCTGGAGATTACTTGTTAACCTTGAACAATTAAATCTACAGTTCTACTGGATCGATTTTGTTAAATAATCTGTCTTTGGAAGACATAAACTCTTTGAGTTGCTTTTTCATTTGATGTGTAGATTTAAGGGTTGTAATTATTATTGACCGTCTTTGTACACATGTTATTTATATCTCCATTCACTGTAAATTATCCAACGTGTAATAAATTTATGGGTATTACAAACATTTATTATCAAGGGGCCTTAAATGATTGTTGATGTTTACTAACTTTTAGAAATTACATTATTATTTGATACAAATATATTGATTGTACTAAACTTTTTGTATGTCTTTTGAATTTTGATTTTTCATGTCAGTAAAATCCACAACCAGGAGAATTATAGAAACAAAAATAACAGAGAAGGCTTTGCAATAAAAATATTCAGGTTATAATGGTAATAAATATATATTTCTATATAACGTGTATAAGCAGTAAACAATACAATATACAACAGAAAATACAGAAGATAAGACTAGATATGCACCCTATATTACAAAAAAGTGTGTTAAAAATTGTGAAGTAATCTTGTGAAGTAAATAATGAAACCAAAGCAAGAAACTACAGAAAAGTCTAAGTTTTAAAAATCAAACTCAAAAATAAAAATGTAACTAGAAAATGAGTAATAGTAAGTTTCTAATATTGCTAGGTAATTTTTCACAAATATTATTGTTACGTTACAGATTACATATTGCACAACCGTAGTAGAAGGCTAGACTATCAATACTTCGTTGATTTAAAATATTTTTAAAAATACTCTACCTACTATGTGGGTTAAAGTATGTGTGCTAAGTAAGGTATAGACACCAACTAAAGTGCAAACTTAACTCACAAATTTAATACCACAAAAATACAAAATATTATTTATATCAAGCTTATTCTTAATATCATCCCTAAAGATTGGATATTTTATTGTATTGCCCTATTATCAAACATACAAAATTGTAACACTAATATTATTTACATTATTATGTACAGCTGGTATCAATAAAAAACAAGGGCCAACATTAAGTTGAAATTCTTAAAGCACATAACTAGACGAATGCTTCAGTGTACCACAAATATGTATTAAGCTGCCTAAAAAGTCTTACATTTAAAACAGTATCATCACAACATCTCTATCACTTTTTTTAGGTTACAAAAGTATTTAAAATAAAGTTTTTCTTTAAAATAAAAATTAAAAAATCAATTTTCAAGGTAATTCAGACTTATAAAAATTAGATTTGTCTAAAAAAGTATACAACATCCAAAGCCAGGAAACCAGTGACATAAAGACGTAACCCGTACACACTTAGTATAAACGTGGTAGAAAATCTAGCTCATAAACCCTTCCTGGGAAACAATTTAAGGCCTAAGTCAGGGACTGAATGTTTCTATACAAACTTTATTTACATTTATTCAAACATATTTGAGTGATAGACATTAAAATTACAAAAAAACTACAGTACTATTTCCCCTCACAAAATTTCAACAATTTACATAACACAACCATTGGTAGCAGCTGTTAAAATTTAAAACCATGTCTCACAAACGTCCAATTAACGTGCAAAATATACAAACCAACACTTCCCTCAATCAAAGATGTGATATGTACAATTCGGCTACAACAAATAACAATAGTGGTTAACTGCACCCTTCCTAAGCTAAATCAAAGTAACAACTAGTGGTGGACTATATGGTCAGGGAGGAGGCGCTAGGTCAAATGGTAGAGCGGTCGGGACAGGGCACCCATAGTGTCTTGTTCTGCTCCATATCCACAGCTGCCTTGATCTGTGTACACATGTACGCGACATTCACTCCTGCTGGTATCACAGCTACAACATACAGACAATCATATAAGCTGTGCTGCGACAATGATGAGCAGCTAACAGAAAAGGAAAAGCCCGTAAGTGTGTATGCTGAGTGGAATCAGTGTTTTAGAGTGTGTGCGTCTCAATTAGGCTACAGTCGAACCTCGTTAGTAAGAACCTCGGTAAAACCAATACTTCGATAAGACAATTAAAAAAATCCTCTTGAAACTTTCCTATAGGTCAATGCTAAAAACACCTCTGTACAACGTAGTAATTAGGTTAAAAACCTCCTTAAGACGAATTTCCTTGTGACGACATGGGCTAGGAATGATTAACCTTTATACAATGCATAATCTTAGCACAAAACCTCTACAAGAGGAATGCGACCTCTATTAGACCAATTTTTCATGATCTTAACCTCCACAGTACGTTGTTTTCAAAACCAACAGAAGATTGTCTCAACATGAAACCCCCACCCATCCCTCTTCTTTCCTCAGACATTATCTCAGAGGAGAAACCTCTATAAGACGAATAACGGCAGTATTAAACCTTGATAAAACAAACCTCTTTATTAAGAATACCTTGATAATACAAATTTTCCCCCTGCCCCTTGAAATTCATCTTATAGAGGTTTGACTGTTCTTGAGGCTATAGAAGTCAGTAAATATCTATGATATACCGGTAGTACATAAGTACCTAATACAAAAAAATTGAAAAACTTAACTACAGTAAAATATTGTTTAAAAAAGATTCAATGGTAAATTTATGAGTCGAGTAGAGGAAGAGCTAGAATTTTAGTGCTATTAGCAACTCAGTTTATCAGATTCAATATTATTGAGCGTTTGGTTAAAAACTTAACCAGTTGGCGTTTTATATTCACTAATTCCAAGTGCATTCATTTAGGGAACAATCATTACTTTTTCCCATATACTGCATACCATCAATTTGTTAACATACCATCAATAGCAAAGGCTTTGCCAATTTTTTACTTTCTGCCTGAGGCAATGTAATAATAGCAGATCTGCGTCGTTACAGTTTTTACTGTTTTTGTTACGATTCACACAATATGCTTACTACAATGGATCTTTAGTAGGAAACTCAAAACCTAAAATGTGCTCTAAAGAAGTTTTACAAACAAAATTTTGGAGAAACACAAAATGTTACCTTGTGTATCTCCAAGTTCCTGGACTATTAACTTTCAACAGAACGCAAGTGGGAATCTATCCTTTTTCTAAAGTACAATCCTTTAAAACAGCAATACCTGAGATGTGGTGCTTGTACTCGGACTCTAGCTTCAAGGCGTGTTCATACATCTCTTTGGCAGCCTTGGCCGTCACCTTATCTGGAGGGTAGCGTGTGTCCTTCACCTCCTTTATCTGCTTGGTGGACTTGAACTTGATAAGCAGCACAATCGGATACACCTGGTGTCTGTGTAATCTCTCGACAGACGACAGAGCGATATCTATCACACAGTGGCAACGCTGCAACAAGCCATAAAACATTGCAATTAAGAACTTTCCAGTTAAATTATTACTAAGTGTCCTGCACCTGACAAAACCTTATCTAATTCAATCAGTATGTGACCAAGCCGGTGACAGCTTTTAAAAATCTTAACGAAAACCACTTACTACGGTTGTAGGGGTGACGATTGACATCTTCTTTCTTTCAATGAATATAACTCTAGATTGTATGTATTTAGCAGCAAATGCTTTATTATGCTCTTTCTCTTAGCATCGGCTACAATTGTACTGCATTCAGCAACTGAAAATGTTTGAGTTAAACTTTCTTACCTTGTCACACATGATGTCTTTGATAGCAGATACCGAGGTGCACTCAAAGAAGCTGCCCTTCTTTCTGTAGTCAACAAACAAGTTGTCTGATATCCCCTTCTCCATGGTGGCTTGACTACAATGCATCACTTCTGGTATCAGCCGGGTGAACACATCGGGGAAATCCTACAACCACACAAACACTGCTTTTAAAACAATTGGTAATTTGCTAAGTATAATAATAGAAATCTTTTACACTGGACAATTTTACAATCATTTTCTAACAAATGTGGGATTGAGTTTGGATTCCATTGTTTCCCCCATAGTATTTATAACAGTAAAGGAACACTGCCAAATTACTTTTGGATGCATCTCTTCTACTCAGTAACAGTGTTATGATTAGTAAATGTTTTGACTCAACAGAATGAGCCATCCAATTGCTATATCAGTTTTCAGTTTTAGAATATTTCTCAAGATCGCAGTAACACCAGTGATCAGCCTTTTGGTTAACTAATGTTTCGGATGATCGGGTGGTTAATAGACGCTCTAGGCTACAGTAACAATTGACGCAGTTGAACTGAGCAACTGACAAGAGTGTGCTGCAGTCAATTACAACAACTATAGCGTAAAGTATCTTCTGTTACTTCATTTTTTTTTACTAATAGAGAAAATATATTTTGCAATGGCTCACTTTATGAGAGATTCATTAATCTACTTTCTATTTGACTAAAAGATTGATTTCTATATACGAGATGTATACTTTGGAATCTAAAAGTACACAGTAAAAACAAAGAAATAAAAACACATCCCAACAGGTCTTAACCTATTTGAAACACACAGTAGAAGAATTTTGTTGAGTGAGGAGCTTCAACGCTCTTAATTGTAGAAACATACAGACAGCGTAGCGTAGCCGAGCGCAGCATTGTCCAATACACACAGAAGGGGTAGCGTAGCGTAGCGCAACATAGGTTGTAGACGGACTTGATAAGGTACATCAGTATAGAGGATGGCTCTGTCGAAGACGGCTCGTATTGGTTTTCTCGAAAATGCCTTAAGGTGGCAGTTTTTGATCAGTAGGAGAAGAGTAGGGGTGCATGAAGTGTGTAAAGTCAGGGGAAAACATGGTGAATACATCTTATTTCCAATCCTTAGGAAACACGAGTTTCGGTTTAAGATACAAGAATGTCGACTACGACGTTCGATTCCATATATAGTTTGGTGAAGGATGATTGAGAGAAGGTGGGAGAAGGAGGGGACCAATTGGTGCAGCAAAGATAGCATTGAGAGAGAGAGAGTATTGAGAAAGAGAGTATTGACTTTAAGCGTGTCTGCAGTCGAATGCCCTCCAATACGCTCTGAGAAAAACAAAACAGTTTGTTCCTCGGTCGTACGCTGCGCTGCGCTACACTACGCCGAAATACGCTACCAGTATGTCATAGTCATTCCTCATTTCAATGTACGGTTTTGATTTAAAACATGCGCTGCGCTGTACTACACTACGCTGTCTGTATGTTTTTACACTAACAGAAATAAAATAATTTCTCAAATTTGGAAAGGTGGGGATTGAACTTGTCACTCTCACACTGAAGGCTGGAGATGTTAACAACTAGGCTAGCTACCCAAACTTAAAAATGTAACTTTTATTTTCCTGATTCCTAATCTCAAAGTATACATTATCATTGGACAGAGGTAAAACATAGAGAGCTGAAAATGTATACAAGAGTTAACAACTAAGTTGACGCTCAACATACCTGGATCAGTTTCTCTGTCACACAGTCACTGAGTGGGCCCACAATCAGCACTGGCCTGTACACTGGCTCTGCTGTAAAACAAAAATAGGCTATGTAAGATTTATTGTTTCTCGATACCAGTACCAACACCTGAAAATCGATTCTCGATTCAATTTTTTTTTACTTTCAACACAAAGAGACAGAGGGAACATTCAATAGTGCGCTTAAGTGGTGTCTAGCACTATCTGCTGGTATCTAGCACTAGCCACTGGTGTCTATCACTAGCACTTACAACACTGATCGACCCCAGACCTAGTGTAGTAGTTCTTAAGTTGATACCTAGGTTGCTGGATATGTCTGTTAAATAGCTTCCACCCTTTTTGTTGAATTTCTTTTAACTTTTTTTAACTAGACTCTAGACTGATATTGTTCTTTACATTGTTTCAGGCTAGGACTAAATGTTGCGGTGTCCTCACTTAAATAAAATCTATTGGTGATTAACGGGATTTGACCTCGGGACCTCAGGAATCTAAGTCCCACGCTCTACCAATAAACCAACTTGTTCCCAGATATATACTAGCATAGATAATTGTAAGTTTAAGTTTAGTAAATCTACTCTTTCAGTACTGTCAGTCTTTGGAGTTCAAAGGAGGAGTAGACTAAACCTTAGAAGGGGTTAATTAAAAGAATACTAACCAAGGCTTATTTAAAGGGAGAGAATGGTATGATAAAGGCGTAGCCAACAGAAATAAATCAAGTGAAGATGTTGAACTCACCATTGAGCCTGGTCACCCTCTGGTAGGACGACAGCGCAGTGTCCTCATTGAGTGTGCCAGAGTCACTGTACCAGCCTAGGTTGATGTTTGAGAAGCTGGCAAGCTCTTTTGAGTCACTTCGCTGGTGTTTCTTGCGACGAAAAAAGCTCCTTCTGGTCGCTCTCCTGGCATCCCCTTCAAGATCACCTAAACTTCGCCTCCGTAAGAGCTCTTCTTCAACCCTGTACATTAAAGTTGATGTACTTTTCCAATACAAATAAAGCAATCTATGACTGATAGGCTAGTGATTGAAGATTTGTTTTGAAAAAGGGACAGCTTTTAGCCAACTAACGATGAGTCACAATACATAACACCTCACTGAGAAATTACTAAACATTATCTATAGGCCTCAGGACTAAAATTTCTTGAAAATGAGAGAATATTTCAAGACATTAAATTTACTAGCTACAATTTTTATCCTACACATATTGGTTACTGAGAACATTCAAAATACTTAACACCACACCTATTTTATTTTCTTTATTTTATTCTTCTATTTTATCCTCATGGAAAATTAAACTTGCTCTAGAATGCCCAATTTTTTTATCTTTCTCGTGTGCTTTACTTACTTGTGGTTATATAATACTTTTATTCTCTTGGTAGGTTACAAAACAATTGTGAGCTCATTAATGAGCATTAAGTTATTTAAAAAGTATTATAAAAAAATGCACGTTTAGTATTCCTTAAGCGCTTTTTGGTTTTAAGGGATAAATTACAACCAAATAACAAATAACGGCTAAAAATTGGCAAATAAAAATTCATGACACGTAGTTAAGTAGCGTTTAGTAAACTTGCAACTTTTCAGCGCTTATCTCGAGCTTTATCATCATTAGACAACTTAAGGAGTTGTCAGAATAAAACATGTGACACACAAACAACAAAATAAGAAACATAACAAAAAATAGATACAAAGGTATGTTTACTACATGTCAAGTATTGTTTGACAAGGAATAGTTTAACGGATTTCGCTATACAGTAGTTTTTACTCACTTGTACTTGCTGGGTATGATGCCGCACTGTTGTCTGTTACCGTCCTCGTCCACCAGCCAAGCGCGCCAGTGTCCAGGCACTCCGTTGAACATTGTGTTGTCCACATACAACACGTCATCCTTGCGGAACCTCAACTGTAAACTGTCCGTCACCTCGTCAAGTCGGTCAAACAACGCTCTGATGTAGAAGCTGTCCCCCGGCTTGTCCTTTATGTCATTGTAACCTGTTATAAGCACATTTGCTTTATGATTACCTCAAAAAATTAAAATCCTAATTAAAAAGGTTTTTTGGAAGTGTGGTTTAGACATTAAATATAAGACAAGTAAAGGTTTGATTGGAAAATTAATTTAAATTACCTACGGACAAACGTGATCGAGGTAGGTCGAAACTTTGAAACTTACGATCAATGTTGTACTGAGCTAGAACAGTGACTTTGTCAGCTGGTTTGGCCAGTTCGTAGGCAGCTTCTTCTGCCGTGGCTTGGCGGAGATCTGTCCCATTGTACTCCAGAATCTGGTCACCGGTCCTGCAAGGTAATGTTCACACACATTCAATATTGAAACTAATTTTAAGGTCAAACAATGTAGCATGAGCACATTATTACACTAACAACACACAAGGTACATTTTACAATATGTACAAGTTACAAGATATAATTTTGTGGGAAATTAACTACAAGAAAATTTAAAATCACATTTTAAACAAACAAGGACGTTTTACACTGTCTGTGACATAAAAAAAATAAATTAAAAATGTTATAGGCATTGTGTATGGTAATTGTTTGGTACAATTTTGTTTTGTTTTAAAATAGGTATTACCAAAGCAAAAAATAAAAAAATTGAAACTGTGAATGTCTTCTGCTCTGCATTAGCGTTAATGGCATCTTCGTCTCTCTTAATCACAGCAAAATCACTAACAATCTGGTGGTTGTGGAGAAATTGTGAACATCTTTCACAATCACTGGCAATTTATTGTGTTTATTGTTGTGTGTTTATTCGCTCTTGCAATCGCCGACGAATAAAAGCTCGGCTCAAAATTTACCTAATAGATTTCATCAATAAAATTCAGTTTTAAGCAAAAAAATCTGTGAGGCCCAAAGTGATACCCCTGGCAACCCTTGTGCCTGCCGTTGCTCTAATATAATGTTTGATTCCAATTCTATATTGTAGACTTTGATTTTGAAATCACCATGTGGTTTTCCACAATCGTAGAGATCCTGGAATTTCGTATCAAATGAAAGTCACAAAATATCGATAATGAGCGACGCCTTGATACAAAATGTTGAAGGTTTGGAATCAGCTCGTTACCTGAGGCCAGAGTTGTAGGCAAGAGAGTTGACTTGCACACTGTGTACAAATATCCCCACCGCATTGCCTCCCACCAGGCTGATGCCCAGGTTGCTGCACTTGTGTGTCTCTATCATGAGATAGCGAGGGTCGTACACCGGGGACTTGACACCATCATCACCTCTACAGCACACACAACATGACAATCAGCCAAACATGTACAAAAGTTTTGCAAAGTAACTACCTTACCCTTTTTTTTAATCCCTTCCCTGAGCACTAATAAGGTAATTGACTGATCGTAAATTGTAAGTCTAATTGTAATTCTAATCCTAAGATAATACTGCATCCTCCAGAAATTAACACTTTGTCAGCAAAACTGACAATAAAAAAACCTTTGAGACTGTTGTGTATAAACTTGTCCATAAAAAAGAATGTCAGTCAACAAGCTCAAGACATCCCCACCTTAAAATCGTAGTTGCGCTACTAAATCAGCCGCTGACTCACATATGGAATATTGAAACAATGGGAATCTTCAGACATCTGAAAGACGAGCTAGTAGACGACACGCTGGACAGTTCATCGAACTCAAGTTTGACAGATTTTGAGGCACTAAGCAGCTAACACTTACCTTTCAGCAGTGTGGTGCTGGCGTTGTATGGTAGTGATGGCTTGTGTCAGCTGATGTTGAGTCAGTTGTGCTGTAGCAGACTTGCGTGTAGTCCGAGGAGAGTTACGAGGTGTAGGTGACCCTGACCTTGTGTGACCTCCACTACTGGAACTGGTCGCTCCCTCCAGCTCTTGGTACTCTGTACATCACTCGCAATTAGTAGAGTGTAACAAATTAACAGCTTGACTATTTTGGCTTTTATCAAGCTTTAAATATATCTGTTATGGGCTTAACCCATTGACAACATATTACTAGTATATTTCATCGCTACATTTCATGGTGAGTTATCAGTTTCAGCCGTTCAGTTCAAACATTGAGAACACAAACGACTAAAAGGTACACAAAATTAACGTCACCATGCCTAGATTTAGTACTGAAATTATCGGCCAACAGTTTTCAGCAATGGTAGGCTACAGGAGTAAATGAGTCATATAAAAATTGCCATCCTATCAAATTGGCAGTAAATATTTGTAAATAAATAAAACATGTAAACATTTCAAAACTTACTGTCGGGAGCGTACTGGACAAGCATTGTGATAGAGTTGCCACACTGACGCAACACACTGGCAGCTAGTTGGTAAGTAGCACTACGCATGTTGATACCACACACTTCTAACAGCTGGTCTCCAACCTGTGACAAACATACCACCAACACATGTCATTTGTCAAGTGTAAAAAGGAGCAGATAAAGTCATTACTGCAGCTAGTTGTATCTAACAGCTCCAAACCAGGTTGAAAAAAAAGAGTACTTATTGAGCAAATTTTTATCTTTCCAATAATAAGCGATGTTGCCATTCAATTACGCTTTCAGAACAACTTAAGATACGTGGAGAATTTGATAAAATAACCTAGGGTAGTAGCATTCAAAATTTAACAGATTATTTAAAATTACGTTAATTAAAGCCTCAAAACCCAGGAGACTTAAATTCCTTGATTTTTTCCAGTAGAATAATTTTTGTACATTGAACTGTTCGAAAATTCACAATGTCGTTACAATTATGTGGGAGACAATCATTATTTTACTCTAAAGGTGGTATATAATTGTGTTTTTCCACAATCACAGAAAATTCCGGAACCGGTTATTGAATCTCGATTCAATTCAATTCACGAGTATTGCGAAAGATTGAAGATAACGAGAATCAGATCCATCCCTATTCTATGACTTAGCACACAAATTCAAGGCTCATATACAATTTTCAGACTGTACCTGCAATCCCACTTGAGAGGCCAGACTGTGCTCACTCACTGTAGACACAAACACTCCTCCACTCTTCTCCAGACAGGAGATCTGGATGCCCAGAGGCTCTACTGACTTGTCAATGTGAACACGGCGCAGTTCACCTGGCGACGGTCTGCAAACAAGCACAGTAAACCTTAAAAAAGTGTTCACACTGGAGAAATGCTCAATTTAGAATGTTTACTATTCACGCTAAAATATGACATTACCTTTAATCTGACCACATAGTCGAGGCCAAAAAGGCTGATGAATATTCAAAGCACTACCAATTTAATTCGCTTTAACCAGCATTAAGCTTGATTTAATGGTTAGCACATTCTTAACAGTTTTGGAAGAACTTTACTGAAAAATTGTTAGATGAAAGACAAAAACCACTTTATGAGCACTTTGTATAAGTGCTTAATGTATAATTTAGCAACTAAGATTGTCATTTTTTATATTTTTGTTTTAGGTGGAATGACCTCTTAAATAAAATAAGTCTGCCTAAGAGAAATATCCTTTTTTTGTTTCCTAGAGCTAAAACCATTGACTATTGGGTACTGAAGTAGACTTCCCATCTATATGGAATCCATCCTATATGGATGGACCAGCTGTAGCCAATTTTTTATTAAAAATGAATGTAGTTGTGTGAGCCAGTCACAGAATGCTCTAGTGTCTAAAATTCTATTTTATACCTTATTTTTGTTGCTGACCAGGTTGATGGGTCATAACAGTTGCTATAACTCATCATAAGTCATTCCCTAAGTTTGACTTGGTTAAAAAGATTCTGTATTCGGCAGAATTTAGTAATTTAGATCAGCGCAATCTGTAGGTGGCTCACATCAACTACGACGATTTTGATAAAAAAGCTGGCTACAAATTTTACATGGAGATGGAATGTCTGTAAAACTCTAATGTGTCATGGGCCAATGAAAAGCACAGCAAACGTTGGGTTGATACCCCTTCTTAGGGTTAGCACTCTGTTTAGGCCTTCTAAATGGGTTGTCTCTGACTTTTTGAGGCTAGACAGGCGAAGAAATAAATTAACAGTGGAACTGATAACTGGCATCAAGGTTATTAAAAGAAAGAGGTTGCCTCAGTCGTGCATATGACGTCACCCGCCAACCCGGACTGTGCTACTTTTAATTCACACAGCTGCCACCTGTCAAATTCTTTGTTATTGTTGTTTGTTTTTGTGTAAGTTCCGTGCGATTAAGTAAAACCATGTTAAAGTAAGCTAGCGGTTATATTTGTTGTATATAAAACACAACAAATATAAAACCGGACTGAAAATATAAACTTAAACAATAAAATAATATAATGCAGAATAAATAAATCAAGAAAGAATAAGGTTACTTAATCGCACTAAACAAGCACAAAAACGTTGAAGTTGCCACTCAGAAATTACTTATTTTCCTAGTAAGAATGGTGAATCTGTTTACAAATAAATAAATGAAAAACAAACAACAATAACAAAGAACTTGACAGGTGACAGCTGTGTGAATTAAAAGCAGCACCGTCCGGGTCGGCGGGTGACGTCATACGTGCGACTGAGGCAACCTCTTTTTCTTTTAACAACCTTGAACTGGCAATGGGCGATTCAGGAAACATTTACAGCGGGTGGGCTTGTTTGATGGTGAACCGATCTGTAAGCACTGCGGTAGGTCTGAGGAGACAGCCGACACCTGCTCTTTGATTGTGAAAACCTCTCTGATGCTAGAAGGAAAACTCTTGGCAATTTGGTAAGACACCTTCCCGAGGAGGAATTAGTTGGAAGACTACAGGCTTTCATCGGATGCCTAAATTTAGTAGGGTCTACCAATACAACTGTCTGGGGTGCGCAAAAATTCGACTTTTCGGATGAAGTTCTTTATGGTCTCTGTTAGATAAGAAGATAAGATAAGCTAAAACTAAAACGATAGGCAATTGTTAAAATTTCATCCTCGGCTTTCAAAACAGGTTTCACGCTCTAACCCCCACTGTGTCGCTGATGGACCTATGTACCGGTACCGGTTTACTCTGAAGTTTTCCTCACCTACTGAGTTAATGAGCTTACTTGTGATGGGACCAGGTGTAGTCTGGCAAGGAGTTCCTTTTATTCTGACGCAGACCGGGGCTCAGCACTTCTACATGGAAGGTGGGCATCGGACTGCCGCGGTCTGATGCTTTCTCTATGCTACCTGTGGACACTTTGCCTCCGCTACTCTTACTGGTGACACTTGGATTGGAGGGTATTCTGTAACAAACATGTGTTACAGACTATCTGAATAGTAGAACTGTAGCAGGAAATTAAGACTAAAATTAGGAAAATACTAATAGAAAAGTACATATTTGTTATGTAGGGTAAATATAATAAAACAATACAGTTTAACTTTTCAAAACAGAAATAATGGGAAGGTAATTTAGGATAGCCAAAAGGTAAAAAACTGGTATCATCAGCTGCTGTAGCTTCTTCCAAACATTTTACAAATCGTAAAGCAATCTACCTAATAATAAAAAAAACTTCATGAAACTTGAACAAACTTGAAATAATACACAAACAGATTTAACAACTTGGAACATACTAAAAATAATTGGTACTGCTACATCAATAAAACTTTAAATAAAAAATAGTCTTTAATGCACTGTGCTTTCATTGTTATCTTTTTTGTTCTGTTTACATGGCGACACCAAGACAATATCTTCACTGAGTTATTGTTACACCTCTTAGTTCTGTTAATTCCCTTTCTTTTTCTGATAAATCTCACCATTCACCAATACATTAACATGTTCTAGTTAGTTTTTCACACAGTTTTGGTTGAAAGTGATTAAAGGGTGTTCTACTGTACCTAAATCGCTGGTTTTCTTTCTTGCGAGGAAAGGTGCCACCCTCGTAGGTGTAGTTCTCGTGTTCGTAGCCGGGGTGGGAGTGGGCGGAGGGGATGGACCGAGCGTTCTTGTGATAATGGGAGTCTACTGAGGGCGAGTGTGTGTGGTGGAACTGAAACATCCACACAATCTTAGTTTATTTAAGTTGATTTGGTGTTTCTGGTATTGTAATATATGCTAAACTACCTCACTTTAACTTGAGTTTCACCGGTAGACAAACAATTGAGCACCTTAAAACCTGATATTTCACTTCTTCAAGGGACATCTTCAGAATTGAGTGAAAAAAATTGAATTAAGTTATATTGCTTGAACAGAATAACGAGTTGTCAACTTTTTACTGCTTGAAACCGAAAATGCTCACGAGTTAAAATGAGTATGCTTTTGCAGAAACAGTATATTTTCCCAGATATTACTAATTTTGAATGTTAAGGACAGCTTTATTTTTTTATTAACATGGATAAAAACTTGAAGTACTTTGCTAACCAACCATTTTGGGCATTGGGTTCGTTACAATTGATACAATATCTTGCAAGGATGCCTAAAGAACGGATAAAAAGTAATGTGTTGACACAGAAGTGAATTCATTATGTTCCATTTAACAAACCTCACACTGTATGAGGATTTTTGTAAAAAGAACCAAAAATCCCCATAATTTCCCTAAAAGAACAAATTCAGTTATTACTTTTTATATCTAATATTATGTCTCCTGACCATAAAACAATTAATTCTTAGGTTTTATTTGAAAAAAAAGTGGTTATAAAATTTGATTACTATCAACTTGAAAGTAAACTGCTAATTTAATTGCTAAATAATAATTTTCATACATAACTAACTTAAAATAATGGTTTAAAATACCTGCATATAGTACTCCTTTGTTGCTGTTTTTGGCAACTAGTTTCGGTTCTTCTGAACCATCATCAGGCCTCAAGGTGTCAGGTAATCACTTCATTCGAAGGCCGTTAACAAACAGGGTTCAATAAATAAAACATATACGACACACGATAACATAGAACGGACGCCAGTTTACAAAAAATGCTAAACACACGAAGGGACATTGACAAAATCAAATGTGACCGGACTGAAGTAATATCTAGACTCAAAACCACCTTGAGGCCTGATGGTTTAGAAGAACCGAAACTAGTTGCCAAAACAGTAACAAAGGGTTACTATATGCAGCTATTCTAAACCATTTTAAGTATAATACAGTAATACGGAGGCTTAACAACTCTTTGATAACTAACTTAGTTAACTTTTGGTCATGCAGGTGTAATCAGGAATAATAAAGAGTAAAACTCGGGTATCGTAATAAATAATGAGAACAGAAAATAAATATTTCTATCCATAATAAATGAAAAAGAAGAAAACTGACATGAAAAAAAAATCAGGAACATGCTGTTAAGTCTTTTAACAAACAGGCCTGTTCCACTTACTTTAGCTTTTCTTTCCTTTCTGGCTGAAATAAATAATCGGTATGGTTATTTCAGCTACATTTGAAATTGTAGAAAAGAATTGTTATTGTGATGCAAACCAGCACAATTGAACGACTCAATTGTATACTTACCTTGACATTTCAATAAATCCATTACAGTAACAACGATATTTTTGTTCAAATCTAATTAAATTGTTCACATAGGGATGATTTTATTGGATAAAGACATATTTGATATTTTACTTTTTTTAAAGGTTGGCAAATACAAGAAGAATTAATGAGCACATTCAGACAGTGGCTCGATTCAACTAGGTCCTTTTTTATTCTTTAACTGGCGACAACCTTAAAATGGAAATGTCTAGTTCTTTTAATATTCAAGGTTAGGAGTTTTTATTTACTAGTTGATGCTACAAAACATAGTAATAGGTGCACCGTCTTGTTGTACATCTTATGAATTATTACCTCCAACCCTTCACCATTACACGCTAGTGTTACTATACCTGAGTGAAGGACGGCTCAAAGCTGAATGATCTAGAGTTGACGGAGTCACCACTCTGGGAGGAAGGGAGTGGGTAGCGTAGGGGAGGCGTAGTATGAGAGTGTGGAGGATGTGAGTGTAGGAAGGGAGTGAACGGGTAGTGAGGAGACCCGTACAGCTGAGAGTGGATGCGGCTGTGCTCCGCGCTACTTTCCGCCTCCGTCGTCGGATACTTAGGCCGCTTCTTCACGTAGTATTCCAACAGCTCCTTACCAATGTTTCCGGACTTGACCGACAGATCGATGCTGGCGTCGGACGGCGTCATGACGCTGCGACGAGACTGCTCGTTACAGCACGGCGGCAGAGTGTACGATGGGCTGTTGTTGAGCAGGACGGACAACGGGAGCCGTTCTTTGTTCTTGCGGGGATGAACAATCGTTCCCGTTGCATGTTCTATCACTGGGCCGACTCTGCAAGATTATTTATTTGTATAAGTGACCTTGTAGCAATTTCAAAGTTACAAACAAGATAACAAATAATAAAGTGTCTAAAATATGTTAAAATCCATTCATTATCACTATAAACTTGAGGAGGTTTACTGTACTTTAACATATGAATTCAACCTAAGATAGGCCTACACCACAACATAGCAAACATTATAAACCAAGGTTAACAAGTAACAGCAGCAAGTACCCAAACAAAATTTTAGTAGTATTACTAGTTTGATACAAGAATTGCATAGCCAAAAAAAAGTTACAGAAGCAAGTACAAAAGCAAGTATTTATAAGGTTAACAATTTTGGATTTCACAATTAATAAAAAACATAAGATCCTAAAAAGAACATTGTGTTTATTGTAATATTTTACTCTCCGTATAGTGTCAGCCTTTTTCAAAATCTACATCCAAGACCTGACGTCTCTCAACCTACCTAGCTTTCGGCCAAGTGCCACCATTCTTCTCTATGTTCTTCTTCTCCCTCCGATGTATTCGCGGATGGTAGCTCTCTATGACACTGTCCAGTTCTGCGATGGCATCGACTTGTTCTTGTTCGAAGGTGACAGGTGATGAGTTGCGGTTGACAGTACACTTGTTGTTGGCTCGTCTGCTCCACTTGAACACTGGCGGAGCGTCGTGCTTGGGCGAATATCTCACTTGGACTGGGTTCTGTACAGGGATAGAGCTTATCAAGAGTAAGACACAGGGAATTGAACTAATATCCAAGTAAGATCCATTATGTATTTGAATCTAGTTAGATGTACAACTAATTCTAGGTTGAAAACTCCAATAAGATCACTGTATTCTTGTGTTTGTTTGAGCGTTATCATATATTTGCCTGTTGTTGAACCACAACACCCTTATACAACCCTGGCCTGAAGCTATCTTTACCAAGAGCAAAAGTAATGATTTTTAAAAATTTTATATACGTAACTTTACATTTTTACAACATCACTCATTATACAATCTTTTGTTTTTTAAGCTCTAGAAAATGATTTTGGAAAGAAATTGCAAAATGTTATGTTTTGATTGTGAAAAATGCGGAAAACCCATAAAACGCTGCTACCACAGTCTGATCATGCTGGATCGCTAACTGAATAAACATAGTTTTACATGTTTATACCAAATTTAATTGAAATTGGTTCATATTTCAACTCAAGTTATCGTGCTAAGGGACACATACATTTACCCTACATTGAATTTTTGGAGTGTGGGGACATCAAACAAAAAATTCCTCGATTCTAGGTCTTACCATTAGACCTACGGTAATGCTTATTCCCTACATGGGAAATTCACCACATATACAAGTCTACTTTGACGCCCTAGATATGGAAAGATGAAGAAACCAAAAACATGAGAACGTTCAGAGCTAATGACAAAGTCAAACAGGATTGGATGGCCAAGGGACTAGTGGTGGGCGTTATATAACGTAATAGGATAAATAACACTATTACTGAAGATTAACCTATACCTTTAGTAACAGGTTACTGAGAATACCCTTTTATTTTTTTGTAACATTTTCTGAACCCTTAGAACGAGCTAGTGAAATAACGCTGACCGTGTCGTCCTATTAATTAATTTTAATAGTAAACGCTTGGTAATAGTTTACTGAGAATCATATTATTGTTGTAACCTCGTAGTACGAGCAAGTGAAATATTGCTTACCATATAATCCTATTAATTAATAGTGAGTGCTTGGTAACAGTTACTAAGAGTCATATTATTTTTTGCAGCGTCGTCTGAACTGGTAGGTCGAACAAGTGAAATAATAGTAACCGTGTAATCCTATTAATTAATAACGCTTGGTAATAGTTTACTGAGAATCATATTATTTTTGTAACATCGTAGTACAAACAAGTGAAATAATCACCACATTATCATATTAATTAACAGCGAGCGCTAGGTAATAGTTTACTAAAAATCTTATTATTTTTATAACGTCATAGTACCCGAATAAATAATGCTGGAAGGGGAAATAATAGGTGACAAAAATACTAGTGTTATTTCACCTATTACCAACTAAGGAACGTTCCTAACTATCACTGAAAAGTAACAGTATTTCCCATCTCTACAAGAGACCCACCATGTTGTCTCGCAGCAGACTCTCCGTCTGTGTGGAGGCGTGCAGAGTTTTCTTGTAGTCCATCGATCCACTGCCACTCCCCCACTTGAGTGTTGTGATCATCAGCACATCACTGGGCTCGTGGAGAATAGCCATCGCATCTCTGGCACTCTTCAGACCATCCATCGTCTTGTTGTTGATCTGGAGAGGGACCAGAGATAAGACAGAGTTATTCACAGTCTTTACAGGCTGTGTATCCTTTAATGCACACATTTATTCTATTAAGAGGTTGGTTGTTTATTTTAAACTTGGAATTTGCCCCTCCATATAGGTCTCACAGGTCTGTGCATGGAAATATCCATGCAAAGCAAGGGTTGAGGTACATTACAGAATGAACTGTTTTGATAAATTTGAGGTGACATTAGTACAAAACCTACATCGCTGGCATGGTTTCTCACTCCGTCGCGATACTGACTAAATCACCATGTACAATAGACACTAGCTAACCTGGATTACCGTAAATGTTAACTTATTGAGCACTACTTAAAATGAACTTTACTATCAAGACAGCAGAATTCACAACACATTAGAAAGTCAAAAAAGCTATTGTAGCTATCAGGTCATATTTCATAGTTCTACTGCGACTTTTGCTAAGTAAGAAAATCCCAAGACTTGCGCCATGACTATGAGAGAACATGCACGAAAACAGGGACTCCAAGACCAGGGTGGAACCTGTTTACTTAACCAAAGATTTTTTTTTATCTCTTAGAGAAATTTGTCTACTGCTTATTGTCTACATAAGTGTCACTATATTGTAGCACTAATAAGTGAGCACATAATGATACATAATAGATTTTTATTACTGCCAGACACAACTGAGATAGACTGAGCTTTGGCAAACTCAAATAAGCCCAAAGTGAATCAAACATTTTCAGAAGGCATATAGTGTAGAAAATCCCTTACAATAGGACCGATCAGGGTTATTGAATATGCTGGATTAGCAGAGACATTATATTAACTGTATTTTTGAAAATTATTTGTCATTGTGGGAAAGCTTTAAAATCCGTAGACAGTTTGTTGAAAACCAAGTAAATAGTTAGAGTGAATAAATGCATTGTACAATATTTTATTTGACTATAACTTTTGTTGTGGTTAAAATTTCTTGTTTCAAGTTTTTGCTGACTGGAAACAATTTTTAAGGCTTTGATAAGAAACAGTGACTGACAAGACTTTGTAACTGTAATACTCAGACTGGTAGACAGCATTGATCACTTACACTGAGCACTCTGTCACCGACAGCCAAGTTACCCTCCTTGGCAGCCAAAGACCCTGGGCTGATCTTAGATATGTAGATGCCAGTCTCCAGTGTCAGGCCATGCTCATAGTTGTTCAGCTGCAACTGATAATAACAACATGAAATGCATGTCTGAATTTCAGTTTGTTATACAAATTAATAGCTTGGCGGTAGTTTGATAAGAGAAATACCCCCGTCGCAGCAAACCTGCATACTAAGCGAATTTCCATTTACCCGGCTTGATTTCTACTAAAATATTCCCTATAAATTTTCAGATTTATTTCCTATTTAAATAACATTAATTTTAGTGAGTAGTTAGGTTTGCTGCTACGGGGAAGATATTGAGGTATGTTTTTTCAATTGAAATATTGATAGCTTAGTATGAAATAAACCAAATTGCCAAATTTGATTAAAATATATCCATAAACAAGCAAACTAGAACAGTTTATTTATTCTCCATAAGAATAACATGGGAATTTTAAATTTACAATTTTTTTAATTTTCTCCGTAGTCAATGAACATTCAAAAACACTTCAATATACTAAATTATTTGTTTTTTTAAGCTCTTCAAAATGGTCTAGAGAGAAATTTAGAAATTTGAAGTTTTTAGGGTCAAAAATGAGAAAAACCCATTTTTACCCCATAAAACCCCCCATAAACCCCTGATCCCATGGTCTGATTATGCTGGTTCGCGAACTCGTTCGAATAAATGTAGGTTTACACGTTTGTACCAAATTTCATCAAAATCGGATCAATTTTGCTCGAGTTATCGCGCTAACGGACACATATATAAATATATATATATATATATAAATATATATATATATATATGAATTTGAACGGATGGTGTTTTTGGCCTCTGGGGACCTCAAAACGAAAAAGTAAATCGGTCCCGGGTCTAGGTCTTACCATGAGACCTACGGTAATAGCTTATTCCCTATATGGGAAATTTGCTAAAACAAATGGCTAACCTTGAAGGTTTACCACACATCAGGAATTTAACTAAAAAAACTCTCGGAGATCAGGGACATCCAAAACCTACCTGATGTATAAAACATTTCTGCGAGATCAGGGACATTTAAAATCTTACTGATATATTGGAGAGTTTTCAAGGAGATAACAGACATTCAAAACCCAACTGATATATTAAGAACTTTTCCAGGAGTTCATAGACTCCCAAAACCCAACTGATATTTTGGGGATTTTTGTAGGAGATGAGGGACACCCAAAACCCAACCTAAATATTAAGAACTATCCTGAAGATCATGGACATCTGGTGCCCAACTAATGCAACGAAAACTTTTTCTAGAGACTATGCACATCCAAAACTCAACTGATATATTGAGGAGATCTAGGACATTAGTGTACCAGGGACATGCAGTATCGGGTCTTCTCAAGGTAACTGACAATATACAAGAGCTGTATGTTGCGTACCTGAGTGGTGTAGAGAGTCCGTCCGCCCACTCTACGTCGTCTCACCACTATGATGGCAGTGCCTCCACTAGACCTCACGGTCTCCAACACCACCCGCTTGCTGACACTGCTGCAGTCAAGGTTGTTCACTCGGATTATGCAGTCGTTTGGTCTAAACAGTAAACACAATATACAAATAAAATCAAGGTCAAGGTTGATGATTAGTTCCACTAAGTTGTTTTAATGGGGTTGTGCGGCTAGGTCACCTGAGAAAATAATTCAAAAGAGAAAAATATTCAGAGGATTTATTTCTTTCCAACTTAAATCTGTCTTGTTTGAAAATGTTGACAGACAGTGAAATATTCCAATTTTTTGTGTATACCCGAGTATAAAGCTGCAAAGACCTTTAAAGTAGGGATGGACGAGATTGGATTTTTAGTTTCGAGACGAGACGAGACGAGATTTTTTATTTCTCATAAAATTTCGAGACGAGATCGAGACGGGATTTCCCTTCTCATACACAACGAGAAATGCACGTTCGGAATTGTTACCTGATTTTGTAACATTGTTAGATGACTGTTTAAATACAAAAATAATGATAATAGGCAAGAATATTTACAATCTTTTATTAAAAAACATCAGCATAACATTTTTTTATTAATCACGCCTAAATTATTAAAAATGCCTACGATTAGGAAACATAGTGATATCAGTTAGGATAGAGTTCAACTTATCCTAAAATAAAATAAATCATAAAATAAAATATTAATTTTTATAAAATAGTTACTTGTTTTGACTTTTTTTATAGTAATAAAACATCCTCACACTGCTAACACTTCTGCTAACAAAACTTCTCAAATGTTATTAAAATAATTAAAGTAATATTTACATTTGAAGAATTAATTAAATAAGAACGCCTTCGCAAAGGAAACGCAACTACAACACGCTCCTGTATTGCGGGTATTGCATTGACTTTCTGCAGGCGTTTTTAAATAAATCTCGTCTCGTGTAACGAGATTTAAAATTTCCCGAAAATTTCCCGAAATTTCGAGACTTGACCATCCCTAACCTTTAATTTGATGTGCATATCAACCTATGCTTTTTATTAAGATTTTCTTCTGACTCCTAGCAGGCTTTCCCCCTGAGAAGGTTGCGCATCTTTGAATAATGTATTAAAATGATTGCCCAGTAACTGTGTACCAAGTTTTAAAGCTCTAGCTTTATTACTTTTTGATATATTTAACCCTCCCAGGACTTTTTTCCCACCCTTTATTATTATTAGGTATGTCATTTTCACAACCGTCCAAATCGTTATCCGGCTAGGGGCCCATGGTGGCCGGATATGAGGGGTTCCACTGCACTAAGAACATCGCTGTCTTAGTAATGTGATTCAAGTTTTTGTTTCTTGCTCAAGGATGGACTTTTTCCAATTCAGTTAAGCTTGCTATCCCAAAACTATCCATTTCCAGAGAAGATTCAGTTATCCTTGATATATTTGCTTGCCTTGAAGAAATATAATAAATTAAGGTTGAGTCGTAAGTACCAACTTTCAACAATTAAAATAGATTCAATCCACACACAACATACCTGAGCTTTCCGTCAAGAATGCTCCCCTTGGCCACTCTCGACACATAGATACCACTGTCATTAGGATACTGAGGATCATCCCTGCCTCCGATCAGGTCTAGACCTAGGTCCTCGTCTGAGGCTAGATCTCCCTACAACAAAAAATGATATAATCAGTACCCCGAGTGAATACCCACGGAGCATTTATATTTAAATTTCCACTACGGTAGATTTCTTCATTAGAATCTGTTAGGTTTGGACTTTGGATTGTTCTAAGACAAAATTTGTGTGACCCTTACATTTACACCATTTTGTCTCGCCTTGCAAACATTTGTTCACAACCTCTTCTCCAAGAGTGATGTTCGGTCTGTATCGATATTTTTGCTGCATTCCCTTATTTTTTTAGGTAGTACTGTAGAACTGCACTCATGTGGTTTTGTAATGTATTTATTAGTTGTAATTAGGGGTACAGAAAATGTAAGGTCGGTACGGTACAATATTTTGTAACCCAGTTCACGGCACAAAATCGCTACGGTATGCGCCTACCAGTATTGTTGCCGTTTTCATCTCAGAACTGTATTTAAACCATTATTTTAATTTTTTTAATACATTGGCATTGAAAATGGGTAGTAAACTACATTCATCGTTTTTTTTAACAACAATCAAAAAAGATAAAATGTTCATGAAAAATATTTACTTATAAAATAAAGACTATAGATTAGTTAAATTATTATAGCAGTAGGCATTGGCCAGCGGCAAATTGAATGTTCACGATGAAAATACTGCAGTGTTAGAGGTAAAATTTAACAGCCATTATAAAACTATTATTTTCATGATTTAATAGGTTCAGATCTCATAATTACTTTAATGAGCTAAGCTACTGACTCAATCGAGTTCTTGGAAGTACTTGAATTGATTTTGATGAATTGAGTACAACAATTATTGTCTGATGAAATATTAATGTATTTGGAATAAATTATGGAAATCATAAACAAACATCCGATAAACCTTTTATGTGCTCCTAACCAACTAAGGTAGTGAAATGAGAGCAATTTAAGTATTTATTATAGGCTGTACCAAACCGAATTAGTACCGTACCAACTTTTTCGGTGCATTGCAGACCCCTAGTTGTAGCTTCCAATACTTGTATAACATGCATACTGACACAATGATTTGATTTACCAAGTCAATGTCGAGCACTTCAGTGTCCCACTCCTGCAGGTCCGTGTCTATAGCTGAGTCGTGGCTGTAGTTGTGACTGGTCGCATGCAGCTGTAACATGCGACTCTCCTTCTCTAACTGCGCCTCCATCTTCTCTCTATACAAGAAACAGCAATGAGTTTTCAAAATCTTAAATTAAAAAAAATAAACAACTATTGTTCAAAACATTTTTTTATGATCGAGACAAATGTTGTAGCTCATGCAAAATACTCACTTAAGCACGTTGAGTTCTTTGGTGGTTTCATTGCGCTGTTTCTTGATGTCGTCGCTGTCCCGCAACGCCTCAGCCAAGTCCGACACTGCTCTGTCACGCTCACGTCGCAGTCGATCACACAGTGAGCGGATACTCTCCCGCTCCAGCACAATCTTGTCCCGCTCGCTGAATGCCCAGTCTCGCCTCCGCTTACTAACCTCTGCTTCTTGGAGAGCCTCTGAACATACAGGACAAACATTACAACACATATTCAAATTGTCATTGTTTGCACTATTTAACATAAATAGGGCTGACACAATTAATTTTTATACATTAGTGAAAATCCCCTAACAACCTTACTTTAGTGATTCTTCCAAAAATATATGTGAATCATCTGAAACTATTCTCGTCTCGTTACATTTAAATTGATCTTGTATCTTCCTAATTCAAACCAGTAAAATATTCCAAAAATTTAATACCATACATGTAGTTTTCTTTGAAAATATTTTAACACATTTCCACAGCGAACTTTTCTTTACAAAGGAAATAATGTGTCATGGTATTGTTTTTCAACGATGGAAATAACTAGGATTACATTACAGTTCTTAATCAAATACTGATAGTCTTAAGTGACAAATTACCTTTAACTTTTATATTTAAAAAATGGAAAATATTTTATTAACTTTTTTATTTAATCTTAGAAATTACTTGACTTATTTTAAACTCTAATAATCAATGACATTGTAAATAACCAAAAGATTTAAGATTGTGATTGACTATTGATTTGACGAATAACAACTGTCATAGTCTATGAGCAAAGTAAATAAATTCGGTACTTTCGTATTATACGGAAGCCACCCTTATACAGCGCGCTGCGGCGGTGATGTTAGGTTGGGGGTTGGGTTATCAAAAATATAACCTGGTAGGACATTTCTCATTTTGTTATGAATCGAACAATACCAGATGAGTCATACTTTCCCCCACCATCTTATCTTATATCTTATCCTTGGAGGGGATATAAATCCCCTCCAAGGAGGCCAAGGTCAGGTCGTTGACCGGAGCGGGCGCATCACCTGTCACCGCCTGTACTTGGGTCAGTATCCTGAGTGATGACTAATCTGGTATTGTTCGATTAAAGACGAAACGAGTAAAGTCCCACAAACATATTTATGATGATAACCTAACCTAACATAATCGTCGCATTCAATTCAATCCTCGTCTTCATTGCTGCCTTCTTAGAGGCAGAACTCAAAGTCCAATAATCGTAATCATGTCAAATTTGGACAGCAGTAAGTCAATTTAAGTGTTCTTTCCAACTATGTAGTTATTTTTGGTCTCCGGTAAAAATATCCCCCTAAAGTAAGTGGCCTCCTTAGAACACGAAAGTACCATACATTCTTTCTAAAATCACAGAAGAGAAGGATTATTCAACTCCTCTTTCCAATCTGCAATAAAAAACAAGTATCGCAAACTTGTAAAAATCATAACTAGAATCTTAACGTAAATCCAACCTTGCAACTCAGCCTGTAGTTTATCAGCATGTTTGCGCAGCTTGTCCAACTCCTGGTTGGCCTGGTCCAGATTGTCCATCCTCTCCTTGTGACATTTACCCAACAGATCCATCGTGGTTGGCTGCAGCTCATGAGGGTCTTTCACACCAACATCCCTGAAAAACCACAGAACAATAATGGTCAAACAAAAATTGGCCGTTTCTATGTCTCAAAAAAATCTTTGGGCTCTCTATCAAAGGAACGATCGAAAAATATAATTCATAGATTTTATCCTATTTTGCGCTCTGGATTTGTTACTTAGAATCCACACCTGAATTTTGAACAATGTAAAACTTGTGACCTTTTCACCAACCATAAGTCAAAGAGCAAATGTATATACAGCCATTAACTTTTACATACTGAAGTAGAGAATCTATTTTATCTATATGAACCAGCATCCAGCAGTAACCAATCTATAGATAAAAAATGATTGCATTTTCTTACAAAATATATTTAAATTATATATTCATATCTACTCACCTCTCCCTGTTGTAGGCGTACTCGAACCTGGACTTGTAGCCTTCTCTCTGCGACTCCTCCTTGGCTGTGAACTCTCCGAACCTCTCTTGAAGATCGTAACACTCCTTTAACGCCTTGTCTCTGTCATGCAGTGCGGACTGGATCTCTCTCTTCAGCGTCTCCATGTGGTATGTCAGTGCGGTTTTCTGCCAACAAAAAAATTGTTTGAGGTTTAAACGCTTTCAGGAAAATTGACCAGATATTTTGGAAAGTTAATACAACTATCCAACCCATTAATGCAGGTATATTTTTCTTTATTTCCCCATTGTATGTATTTTTTTAGGTTACTTCCTTTTATGAGTATTTCAATACGATATGACAATATTTAACCAAAATAAAAGCCAACATATAACAATCTGAATCATCCTCCTCTTCTTTAGCAATAAGAAGTGTAAGAAGTGTAGGCCTACTGACACCAAATTTTTGTCGGTAGGCCTACTCATTTTTGTTCGTAATACGTCTACGTCTGTATATAGTATGTGTCTGTGTTTCGTATTTAAACTCTTGACGACCTTTTCGAAGTGACAGTGTTATATGCTCTCATACGAGATCTGATGATGAGGACTTAGGTCCTCAAAACGCGTAATCTGTAAGGACTACACAAGTTCACTTTGGCAGCATTCAGGTAATTTTATACTTTATATAGTTTGTTCAGTGAGCCGAGACAAAATAACTCAAAAATGAAATTTACTCAAGCATAATTTATAGGATATAATTACAGAAATTTGCTTTTTTGAGACTGTGGTCTGTACCTACCACCTTTAACAGTTTGTATCAACTTTTTACAGAATGGCCACTTTCAAGTGCCTTAAGTCCCACGTTATTGTCAGAATCTTTTACAACCATACACTTTAGTTTATAATTTAACTTGCTGTTACCCGTGGGCTTTGCCCCGTTTGACATCATGAATATTAATAAAACTATTGATTGCCGTACTGGTTTGGGTGGCATTTTGAAAGGCTTTTCATGGTTACTTTGAAGAACAACGTAGGACTTAATAAGCTGTCAGGTCAGAAGCCCTAGAAGAGTATTAAAATAAAAATAAAAATTGCGTTGACAATGGCCGATACAAGCCGAAACATGTAAACTACCTTCAATTAAAAAATTAGCTGTTTGTCAGATTTATAAGGTATGTAACCTATTTATTATATTGAATATAACAGCTCAGGAGCTAGAATAGAAATTAATTTTAATTAAAATAAAAGATGACTAAGTCCTTTAAGCCTGTGGTTATATTGGATACTCATGGAAAAAAATCAGCTCAATTGGTCAAGTATTTTTCACGTAGTTGACATACTCAAAACATTCATATCTATAATATTAGTTCCTTCCATTCAAGTCATTGACTTGATCAGTAATGCAATAAAATTACTAACACACTAATACGTTTCCCAGATTAATATTCTAAAAAGTCAAAATAAAAATAAAAATTTGGCTATGAGGTTTCTGCTATAAACAATTCAAATTAGCTGCATACATACATTATAAAAATAATAGTGCTGCACCCTGTTGGTAAACCTAGTAACTGCTGATAAGGTTAACATGGGAAACTCCAGAGCCACTGGGGCAGAGCCCAAAAGTCCGATCATAATAAAACTACTTAGTTTTTTTATTTAATGTATAAAGAATCAGTGTACCAAAATTTCAGCCTCCTAGGAGATTGGGAAGTAGGAGAAATTAGTGAGTCAGTCAGTGAGGGCTTTGCATTTTATAGGTATACTAGTAGCTGTACCCGCGGGCTTTGCCCCGTTTTACTTCATAAGTGAGCTCGTTCGCATGGCTCAATCACGTCCTGGTTGAAGTTCGTTCTCTACGCTCACTCACCTTTAAGTTGGAGCTCGTTCGCTGCGCTCACTTGCCTTCAGGTTAGCTCGTTCGCTACGCTAACTCGCCTCCAGGTTGAAGTTCGTTCGCTACGCTCACTCACCTTTTGGTTTCAAATTAGCTGTTGTCATAAATTAAAAAAAATAATAGTGCTGCACCCTGTTGGTAATCCTTGTAACTTTAATGCTACTGCACATCATAGAACAGATCAACTTGTTTAATTGAAACAGCTGTTAAGATTCATTAATTCCATTTAAATATGAATACTCATAAGGTTAACATGGGAAACTCCAGAGCCACTGGGGCGGAGCCCGAGAGTCCGATCAGAATAAAAACAACTTAGTTTTCCTATTTAATGAATCAGCGTACCAAATTTCAGCCTCCTAGGTAAATGGGAAGTGGGAGAATTAGTGATGAGTGAGTGAGTGAGTCAGTCAGTGAGGGCTTTGCCTTTTATACAGAGATAGAATAGAATAGATATTCCTAATCAAATGAAAATTCAATTTTTGACCAAACACAGCTCCACATGACAAACGTAGCTTACCTCATCCATCATCTCCTTAGTCTGCATCTCCAGTGCCTTGCATTTCTTGTACGCCTGCGTCAGGTCTTCAGTCAGTTTCTCCATCTCCTTGTGTACACTGTCTCTCTCACTCATCACTAGCGAATACTCCTGCATCGCTGCGTTGCGCTCCTCTGTCAACCGCTTCAGATCCTTGTTGGCTTTCATCCGCACAGCCATCGCCTGGTTGATCTCCTTCACCGCCTCCTCGTGCTGCTGCTGCACCTGCCACATCACAACTATCTAGATGGCGTTGCTTAATTCACTTTAGAATTTATATTGTAGATTTATAACCGTTTATAACAGAATTAGAAACTAAACTAAAATATGATTGCCTCATTTAAAAGTTCCTTTGCAAGATGATTCATACCATATTTTTACTAATGTCCTGCAAATTTTGCACAATCCAGATTTTTTGGCAAATCATCAAAGAATTTTTTTCTTAAGATGTTATTTAAGAACTTTTAAGCAATGCTAGAGTGAAATTAAAAACTCAGTAGCTCCAATAGTAATACAGTAGACTGCCTTTGCCACTGTTACTTGCGGAAGTTATGACCAAAACTTGTGAGTGAATACAATAAGCCTAACCTGTCAGCACCACATTTATGATTTATTTTAATGCCATGTACGAGTGTTTTCTTTACCAAGATCAGTTTCAACATTTCAATGTTATGGCGTTGTAAAGTTTTAATGTAGCATTTCCACACAGAAGAAAAGAAAATGTCATGGTGCATGTATTTTTTTAAATTGTTAACCCTTTTTCCTGCAACCCGACACTTCTCAAACTCAGCCTTCCAATTATTACACTTAGACGAGTTTGTCAGAAAATATTGTGCTATTTATGACCATCAGGTTTAATCACAATAAGAAAATACCTTTTTCGCCCAAGTGGTGGATGTCAACTGTATTTTAAACCCAAAACACAACAATAACCAACTTGTACACTTAACATTATGTAACGAATTAAATCACGTAGGCCTAGACCTACCACAGTCACAGCCCAACTTAAATAGGGAGCACCCTCTTTCCTACCCCGTAAATCCTAATAGGCCGTGAGACAGGTGAAGGACTCTAAGGGATTATAACCCTCACACACACACACAGACACTCCTACACAAACACACAATATGTCATGCGCTGTGGGAAGGTAGGACCCTGAGCGCTGGCAAGTGTGCGTGCATTAGTGGAAGGGACGTTAATCTTTCAGAGTCCTTCGCCTGCCTCACAGCCTATAGCCTCTTCTAAATGGACTACAAAGATTATATATCATCACTTAATTGAATTGTTCACATAAATTTTAACAGATCTCTTGGTAGATTTGCTTTTGCCAACTCTGCAACTAGTAGATTGAAACAAAAAGTGGTTTCTCAAACCATTTAGCCCACACTATTGTCTTTCTTTACAAATTTAAGATAAACTAAAATTTCATCACCATTGCTTTGAGAATTCACAACTGGCCTAGTTGTTAAAGTATATAAATGACTCTTATCCTCAAAGTTTGAGTACAAGTACAACGTAACTTCAATGTCTATTAACTAATCAGTTGTTAGAAGTCTGCTTATATAAGCAGGTAGGTCTGCCTATCACATAAAACGATCAATGAAGTATTTGATACAACATTTTGTGGTCCAACTTTGAAACCGTGAGGATAAGGTGTTTTAAACTACAATTGATTGTAACCGGAAAATCAATTGTATTTACCAAAAAACAAACTATAATACACACACATACACACACATACGGGGTTTTACCGAATACTCGCAAACACCTAATTGTGGCATCTTTCAACCTGCGGCCACCAGTGGATGAAGGAAGGTGGTAGAAACATGTCTGCATCGATATTTTTAATGAACACTCCATTTTAACATCTAACATTCCAGTTTTTTAATTGTGGCACCATGCCACAAATCGGTATATATCAACAGTGTGTGGACAGGATGCCACTAATGCGTTGTAGTGCTTGAGCGGTGTGTGCGCGCCCCCTACTTCTCGCGTGCGCTGTTGCCAGTTCTCCGTTCTAGTTCCTTCATTCCGTTCTGTATTCATGTGGCTCTATGCCCTAGCCGCTGTAGCTCATTTCCCGCGCTCATGACGTCGTCTTTTATTAGTGTAAGGATTTTACATGAAGTTTTTTTCAAAGCTCCAATAATTTTTACAATTATTGGATTTAAAGTCAATGGACCAAATGAAATGTCGTGAGGATTACATAAAACTACATGCCATTTTGTTGATATTTTATAGTCACATTGTATGTATGGTTTACGAGCTGAGATACTTGGAATAAAGGCCTTAATGTGCTGGGTAAATTATCAGTTTCATGGGAATATACAAGAAATCTATTCTATCTATATATTAATTACGTAAGCCGATTCTTTGCGTCAAAATTGTGGGCGACTGGGAAGTCGTAGAACGACGTGAGAGGGCTCAAATTAAAGGTCTTTATCCCGTGACGGCGGGAAAAATAGTTAAATTCCCAAAATCTTAACACAAAATTAGATATAACGTACAATGTTCTCCATAAGAATAGCATTAGAAGGCATTTACTGCTGATTTTTGTTTACTTCAATCCAGCTGATCGTGATTTTATCATTAGCAAGTAAGCTTACATTTGGATTACTCATTTGCCAGTCAATTCTGCAATGTAATGTATACTATATAAAACCAACTAGGTATATAAAGGGATAACGTTACCTTTAATAATCAAGACTTTTTAGTTATGTCACAGTTGAAATAAATTGTTTTCAAGATTTAAGAAACGATTCAAGATTAAAAGAAGATCTTCTTTGTTTTTATTTTAAAACATATGTAAAAGATTTATTCCAATTTTTTTTTTTAATTTACTAACATTTATATTTGAAATTTATTAGAGTGTTTAATTAATATTTTGTATGAAGTGGAATAACCTCAACGGTTACTCTTAGAAAACAATTTGGGAATAGAGATGAAGTAGGTTCGTACAGGTATTTAAACGAACCAAAAATATTTATGTCGTGATTAGTTTCGATAACTGGGTAATGGAACCCTAACTAGCCGCAAAATAGTTAGTAATTAGACGTTGACTAGGCCCTTTTTTGGTAGAATATGTAAATCAATCGCACCTTTAGGAGGATTAACACCACATATACTTACACTAGGCTAATAGTGGTTTTTTAATGTTGATCACAAACAAATTTAGGTCCAAGTTCTGTCAATGGGATGCCTTTACTTAAGAATAATTTTGTTAAACCTTTACAAAATGAGCATAGACTTAGAAATAATAACTGGGTAGGGTATCTCAACACACCATTTTTTGCCTTTTCTTATTTGACGAAGACAATTTCCAATACTGTATTTCAATCGGGGAAGCCTTGTTATCAGCATTAACAAAAAAACCAAAGCTACCTTAATAAACCAATATTTATTCATAAATATGTTTGCTGCCTTTAGCAGTTAAACCTCTGGAATCATTCAAATTCTTTATTGAACATAACGTTATCAACAAAAGCAAACAAAGACAAACAACAAACTGTTTTGTTTTTTTGCACAAAAGATATGTTGTTGTGGGATATCTAGGCCTATCCTGACATATAGATAATTTGATTCTGAGTTTGTTTAAATATTCCAACAATAATTCCTTTTCCGTTTAAGCTTTTTAGGGACTATGTCCCTACAAGCCACTAGTTTACATTAAAATACGCAATAAGTATGACTCCGTTTTTTCTGTATGCATATAATTAATTCATGGTAATGTAAAAGTATGCGTAACGAATTTTTCACCTCACTATGATGTTTTTAGCTGTTTTACATACATTTAGCTGGTTTATATTGGTGGCTGAAAGTTACGTTTTGCTGGCCATGCCAGCTGTCATCGTCATATGGGGACCGAGCAGGGGTTTACATCCCTAGGGCCGCAAAATCACTTGTTCGCCTATTTACTCAAAACATTAATGTATATTAAATGCACAAGCTGTATCCATGGCATTGCAATAGACTTGTTTTTTGTCACAGCTGCCTAGACAACTATTTATTGTTATTTTTTATTTTGCTGATTCCTCAAAATATTTTACATAAATAAGAGGGACGTTATATTGCAAAACATACTTGGGTGAAAAATAGCGTTCGTACCACGAGCCAAAATGGGTTTGCAGCTCTCGATCGTTTTACGTTCTCGAATTCGTCTCGAACTAAAAACCCGATCTCGAGTCGGCAAAACCTCACTTTCGGCCCTAGGTACGAAATATACTATTTTTGTACGTTGGATTTAGAGACCCAAACTTGGTAGGGGTGTCCAAAGAAACGTCTTGGTCTGTAGATGAGTTAGGTATCAAAAGAAAGACTAATCAAAATCCCTTAGGACTCTGCCCCAGAAGCCTTTAAAGATCCCTCCACAGAGCTGTTTACATTTTGGCCATGTTAATAATACTTTTTAATGAAACAGCTGTTCATTTTTAAATTGTATTTCAAACAACACACATTTATTGGGAGTTACTGAATTCTACCAAATAAGTATTTGCAATGTTATTTTCAGATTTTAAAATTGATTTTCTTCTTTATCATGTCATGTTTTGCAATATAACGTCCCATTACGAAATCAGTGGAAAGTCCTTTTATCACAGCAATTCTTAAATTATTTCTTATTGAACTATCTTATATCACTTGCACGGGTTGGTGTCTGCCTTTTTCACCACTTTTGACTATATTTTATCATATTATACTACACATATCAAATATTTATGTAGAAATATCTGCTCTTATCGTGTCTAATAAAATCCAAACATAGAAACTTTGTCTAAAATGGTACCCACCTTGACAAATTATTTGCACCTGCCTATATTACGGACTTTAGCGCACTGGTTTGGTAACATTATTGAAAATAACACGACATTTTGGCTGTAAAAAATGGTACAAAGAGAAAATACTATTTAAGCAGCTACTGTCAATGCGGAGCGAGCGAAGCTCTTTGGGATCAACTTCAATGCAACAAATAGAGAAACATCACTCAATAACGGCTGAACGCATTTCAGCCAAACTTAACAAAATTTTAGACTAATAGTGAGATGGTTTTTAAACAAACAAATTTCAATTAGATAATGCTAATGCAATTTAAATCGAACTTAAAATTTCCAATATTTAACAAGGAGCGGAGGGATACGGACCTGTGACTACTTTCCTCGGAACCTATTTGTGTTGCCGGCTGATTAGAAACAGCCAATGTTAGAAATCAGGATTTCGAACAGTCTTGCTGT